AAACTGAGGTCCAGCGTTCGTAATTGTATGTCCGACCGACATGTCTTGTCAGGACCATTGAGTGTGGCAAAGTCCAGGAACAGGATACATCCGCTCAAAGGATGCAACAACATCTGTCTCTCTATGAGACACTCTCCACATGGGTGTCGATTCATAGCCCGTTCGGCCCCAAAATTACCATGGGTCACTTTTTTTCACATTTTTCGCCGGACATATGGCTGTGGCTCAAAAACATGTACCAAAATGTCACCTTGGTAATTGAATGAAACCAAAGACTAAAGCCTGCGTAACCCTAGCTCTCTAATTTTGAGCCACACCCATATCATTAGTTTAGTGGGGTTTTCCCCCAATGCAAAGGACCTTTTGATCAACCCGCGTGCCACTGGGAGCTCAAGAATTGAATTCCTTGCCAAGGCTTGCCCCTGGGGTCTGCGTGTTGCATTCGCAGGTTTAATGCTCCTAGAACAGCGTGGCAGTGAACTCCTTCGATGTCTAATGACTATGAACCAATACTTCATACTGTTCATGATGAAATCCATGTCACACGACCGTTCAGAAACCCTGGCTTCTGATGACTCCCCTGTAAATACCAACAAGCAATGGTTTCAACCATGATTTCAGAGTCAATCAACGGAATGTCTTGGCTTTGTGGGGGGGACCTCGGTGTTTTGCTCAGAAAGATGCCTACGGAGATCGTCGGCTTGTCCTGTATCGAAAGGCTCTTTGTCTGCTGCGCATTTCAGGTTGCCAAACAAGTCAATTAAACATGTCAAGATGAAATATCTTGGAACATCGTAGAACTCACTAACAATTCCTAAGCACTCCTGCGTAGTGAAAGCCTTTTTGCGAAGGAACTTGAATTCTGGTACATTTCTCAAGCGCAAAAAAAGGAAAGGCGACACATTTAGCAAAAACAAAGACTACAGGATTGACAAGCCCGCAACCGCGACTTCACTCCAACAAACATGCCCAATGGGTGTATGCACTTTGGAGCCAACCACAAACATGGCCTGCAGGTGGCATTATACCAACTGACAAAATTCAAGCGTGGACATACACATGTGCAAATCTAGAACGACGATCGCAACGCAAACAGCTCTTAGCACCTCCCTCAATGCGGCACAGTCATCGCATCACTCATCACTCTCCGTCATGAAACACATGGTTGATTGAAAGCAGGTTTAGTGTCCTTTTGTCCACCTGAACAACCTCAGTCTCGATGCTCTTGATCCAAAGCCCGGTTTCTAGCTGTTGATCAGGATCGCAATCCATATCAGCCTCGTGTTGCCAAACATTCGTACCCGATTCGAGCAATCAGCCTTTGTCACAGAAGGTCATTCCAGCCTAAAACCACACTTACCCCCAAATTATGTTTCACATCCTGTGCAAAGTGCATGGTTGAAATCCATTTCGCACCACTATGATTCGATTCCCCTGTCAATACCAAAACAAAGGTTCTGCTTTCAACCTCATAGGTTTCATGGCAAAGTTGAACACTCATTGGCCCTATGGACACACGGTTGGAGCCGTGCATACGGGGTTCCGCTGAGTGGACAGGCTTAAATGAAGCCCAGACATGTCCTGTGCGATCGGAGCTGCAGTTGGCTATCCCATTTTTGATTCCAGAAACTGCGTTAACTGTGCGAAGTTTAACTGCTGGGTTAAATGCGTGGATACAGGTTTCCGTTCACCGGTGCGACTGGCTTCCATCTTCGATCCGAGGCGCCCATCTCCACCAGCCGCGCCAGGGCCCAGCCCGGAGCCGCGCAACGCCACCGGCCCAGGTCCACGTCCTCGGGGAAGGCGAGAGCTGGGGACTTTTGGGCCAGGTCCGGTGCTGAGGGAGGGGGAAGTAGGAGGGGGTTGGAGGGGGGTAGGAGGGAGGTAAGGGGGGGGTAGAGTTCATGGGGTGTTTACCATCCAGGGGCTGAGCAAACAGAACTGGCTGTAATGTGATCGGTTGACTTACCAGCTGTCACCACACCAGGGAATATGAGACCGAGGGGTGAGTGGGCTTGTCCCTTCTGGCATTCAGGAATCCTTCAACCAGGGCCTTCATGGCTGAGCTCGTTTCACCATGCTGTAAGCTTCTTGGATTCCGATAAGTGAAAAACTATCCTTGGATGCAACTTTGAGCGCACTACACCTCAAAGGGCCACAATATCCTGTGCGACCGGAGGTTCCACAATCCAGTCTACGTGAGTTCAGTGATGTGAGGATCGTCACACTGCGAGCTGAATGTTTCCTAGCCCGACAATTCCTGGTGCTGCCCGGATAGCCGGATGGGGTCCAACCTAGGGCATTGAGGTCCTTTGCCCGGTGTCAAGCGGCAAAAAGTAAAACAAGTTTGCCAGACAATGGGGAAGCCTCCTTTGCGGTGGCCTCAAACCGAAACAACGAAGATGCTCAGTATGTAGGGGGGCCATGAACTGTGTTTGGTGTTGTGACAAGTTGTTGTCTTTAGTTGGCTGTAGAAAACCAAAGGAAGTCAAGCTTTTTGATAGAAACACTTTGAGAAGCAGTAACGTGAGCACCTGGTGAACTCCAATATGCCATAGCGAGTCGAATCCCCTGCCAATAAGCGCTGACCGAAAGTGGGCTATAAACAACTTTCGGACACTGTGAACATTTCGGTGTATGGCGCTGTGTGTCGATGATCTCAAAGCTGTTTGGTTGAAACTTCCAAAAAAAAACAGGTTTCCGCGGCAAACCATAAAATTATACTGGGAATCAAACCACACATACAACAATGCGGATTGATATAACCACCATTTCCGCTTAAGGAGCGTCATCTAAATTGGATCAACCAGCCATTATTTTCATGTGGGCAAGGAACCCTAGAACAATTCTCTGAATGGGTTGGATCACACATGGCTGTGGCTCACCATGTACCAAAACGGTGCCAACGGCTAAATGGAGCCAAAGACAAAAATCCGCGAAGGAAAAACAAAACAAAAACTTCCGGCTCCTCAAATTTCCAGCGACACCACATGGGTTCCGGAACCATACGAGACTTCGAAGCCCGAACAGCCCGCTGCGGCCGGACGGTTTGCTTGACGGCAACTTTTGACGCCTTTTGCGCTGGCGAGCGAGGCAGCTGGCCTTGGGCCCCTCGCGTAAATGTTCGAGGCGGAAGCTCCATGGGAGCTTCCGGATAATGCCCGCCGGTGAGTGTGTTTGTTGGGCCAGCGCACCGACAAAAAGTGTTTGTTCGGTCTCCGGCTTTCCCACGCAAACGAGTGCGCAACAGTTGATATAGTTTGGGGTAAACCGAAAGGACGTCTTTTTGCCATTTCTTGCGGGGTCTATCTCATACACATGTTTGCCTTGCATAGGGGGATCGATCCACGGATCCACTCCCGGGGCATGTGTTTGGTCTATCTCAGACAGGATTCTCAATGATTGGATGCCTTTGCCACTTCAACAAACAACCGGAAAGGGCCCAAATAGTTGTCACCTTGTGTGTGTGTCTTTCGTTGAGGGTGCCCTTTTTTGTGCTGGTTCACAGAGAAACCAACAAAAACAAACCTTTTGGAAACCCTCGTACGTACAGTCGAGGTAGGAAACGCTGAATTGGCCGAAGTGGGTTGAGTTCTTTGCTGTCGACATTAGAGGCCCCACGAAAAAGGAATGTCATTAGAGGGAAGCCCACGGAACCTGCCAACGTCATGGTGAAACAGCCACATGGAAGATGGTCATGATTCCCTTACCAGGGTCCTCAGACTTCGAAGGCTTTCAGATCACTTCGAAGGCTCAGCCCCCAAGTCACTCTCGTTCGCGCAACGGCAGTCATCTTGGGGAGCAAAAGGGCAATTGCCTGTCTAGGTCTGTGTCTTATAACTAACCTCACCACCAAAATATGGCTGTGGGTCAAAAACATGTACCCAAAATGGGCCCTGGTAAGTGGAAACATGGACCAAACCCTGCGGCCCAATTCCTGGTGGTTTCATTTGACCCATACGTGGATTCGTTTCGGTCTTGCGAAAAAGATACCGCCCTATCTTTTGACAAACCCTGTTGTGGGCCCCATCCAGTCGCACGAAGAGACCGCAAGAATCCCGTCCCAGGAAATAAAGAAGCCCAGCTGTTCATGGCTCGGATTCAAGGGGAAGCTTCCTCCACGGCTCTGGGCAGTCAATGCGCTGTGTCCCCGGCTGACAAAGGATGTTGATGAGTGAACCAGCGTCAATGTCTTTCCTTTGCTTCCACTAGCCTCACCCACTGGGAAACAACATATTTCCAGTTGTGATAAACTCCCTCTAACCCACAATATTCATTCCAGCAATGCAGCTTGCGTCACCCCATGTCCACTCGCACCGGCTCTTTGGAAATCAGCTTGTGCCCTTGAAAGGCTTTAAGCGCGACCGCCCAATTCTGGGCGCGCCTCCACTTGAGCGATCGATCGGCCGGCGCAAAACGGTCCCCTTAGGGGCCCGAGTTGATGCACCGGCAATGGTCACATCATTTTTTTTGTCACACCCCGACATATTATTGGCGAGTCAAAGGTTCCCTTTGCAAAATGGAGCCGGTGCTACGTTGTCCAAGTCGCCCAATGCAAGTCATGTTTAAACTCTGAACCAATCCTGATTGACTCATTTGTGTCACCCAAGATAGTGAAATACGGTCTGTCCTCAAGTAGCAGGCTTTGATTCTCGACAACTACCTCACAAGTACTTGTGCAAGTGCAAGTGATGCCAACAACACCCTCCGGAACATTGTCATGTCATCATTGTAGCACACAAGTGCTCAATTTTGGAGCTCGGGAGGGTTTGACGTGGATCTTTGGAGGGTTTGGTGTGAACAATTCCAAACAGGGCCCAAGGCGCCGCAATCATTCAGGAAGCCGTTACGTGTTCTGCGTGTAAGAAAAGGCACAGCATCTTATTGTGGTTTGTACCTGAGTTTTTGACCCCGGCCAAGCACCAGATGTTTACATCAGATGGCCCATATTTGGTGAATCTTGAGATGTCAAGCAAAATCAACAACATACAAGATAGTAAGAGTAGGTTGCCTTTGAACGCATGGAAGGTCGGGTCGTGTTGAAAACGTTGACAAGGAGCCCATTGCTGTTCATTCATCCACGCCATAGTCCTCCTCGCAGACCACCGTGTCGTTGGACAGACCGTTCATATAGTCCTCGCATTTGAGCTTGGAACTTTTTCGGGGGTTGAAGGAACCAAATGGACAAATTTGGGGTTCACCCAATTTTTGACAATACCCATATCTTTTCTCTATAGGGCTGAATGCACATGTCACAAGTGAGTATGCAACATGCTCAGAAGCTAACTCACCAGCACCTATCATCTTCTTTGGGAGAAACCTTGAAAGGGGTGGCGTGTTGTGGTGTTGTAATTGGTTTCGATTTTATTGTACTTGTTTGTGTGTTTTACTTTCGGACCGCTTGACCAATCTAAGCGAAGGCTTCAAATCCGCCATTTGGGTGCCCCAAGGCCACATTCGGGGATGGGGGCGGGGGCTGCTGATTTGGAGGTGCTGCCATACGAGGCTACGCCCAAACGAAACCTGGGCGTATCCCCTGCGGCGTTTTACAGTGGCAGATCTGGGTGCGGGTCAACGCTAAACCACCAGGGGACCGCAGGTTTCCATTTGCCAGGGTTCCATTTTGGGGTTAACCTGTTTTTTGACCCGATCTTGTGAACCCCCTGGAGGTAGTCACTGATTTGTTTCTTGTGCTGCGACTCTTGGAGCCCGAGAGAATCATGTAACATCGCAGCACTTGCCAGTTAAGTACGTGCATCAGATGCACAAGTACTTTGAGAATTTAAGTACATTGAGAGGCTTTATCAATGTACTTGCAATTGATGAAATTGATCTAAACATGATCTGAAATTGATCTGATTCAGATGTTTTATTGTACTTCTGTAAGTTGGAATTGGAAAGCACATTGAAACAAAAATACAATAAAACATTGTGCCTTCCGCAGCAGTGAACCACTGCGAGTCCCTCGATGCTTGGATAAAACAAAAAAAACTAATGCATCACTTTGAATCGGAATTCGACATTGCGTCAGAAACATCTGGCCCGTCAGGGGAAAAGGCAGAATACGTACCAACATGGTGGGACGAAGCCACATTCTATGTATGTATGTATGTATGTATGTATGTATGTATGTATGTATGTATGTATGTATGTATGTATATGTATGTATGTATGTATGTATGTATGTATGTATGTATGTATGTATGTATGTATGTATGTATCTATGTATGTATGTATGTACGTATGTATGTATGTATGTATGTATGTATGTATGTGTGTGTGTGTGTTTGTATGTATGTATGTATGTATGTATGTATGTATGTATGTATGTATGTATGTATGTATGTATGTATGTATGTATGTATGTATATGGGTACGTATTTATGTATGTATGTATGTATGTATAATACACGTGAACATGTAGGTATGCCGTAATTGAAAAAGGGGGCCCTTTTTTGGAGGTCTTGAATTGGCAATCCAAAGAACGCCTAGCTCTGGGGTTCCCATTGTGAGAACCACCCATGAATGGTGCGGTGGCGATTTAGGCTCAGGGTGACGTCAAAACAAGCAGGCCTTCCGGGTACATCCTCATGCGTGTCACATTCGGCAATATATCAAACCTCCCAAAAACGAACCAAACAACGAAACCATGTCGGGCAAGCAAGCAAGCAAGCAGGCAGGCAGGAAAGGCAGGCAAGGCAAGCTAGGCAAAGCAAGACAAAACGGGGCCAGGTACAGCAAGACAAGGCAAAGAGACAACACTGCAACAAACGCAAACACGCAAACAAGGAAGGAACAAACAACGTAAAACAACACATGAATCAAATAAGCAGAAAAAAACAAACAAACAAACATGCAGACAAACAAGCAATGAAACAAAGCCAGCCAGCAAGCAAGCAAGCAAGCAAGCAAGAAAGCAAGCAAACAAACAAACAAGCAAGCAAACAAACAAAGCAAACAAATACGCAAACAAAGCAAGCAAACAAACACGGAAGCAAAGCAAACAAACAGGCAACAAACAAACGCAAACACACACCAAACCAAACGCAACTAAACCGACCCAATAGAATAGGAAACATGGGACAGGCTGGGGCCGTCTCGGAACACCGTGTTTTTGAGGGCACTCCGATAAAATAGAGCAATCGGAGAACCAAGGGCAACATTGCATCTGTTTTGGAAATTGACATGAACCCAACTAATGTGGTTTCAGCACAAGGTGTCCGTGGCGCGACCCATGGCACGCTTCCTGGATCAAGTTGGTCAAGGGCTCCATGTTCTCACTGTAGCCTTACTGGCTCAATTTCCACTGGGCAATGATACGCAAAAGTTGACGAACGCTAAAGGACATCAGCCAGAAGACTCCTCGTTATCTTGGCGCAAACAAAAACCCACAAAACAACTTGTGTAGCTGAACTCTAAAAAGACACCCGCCCCAAAACCGGGCTCTTGCTTCTGCGTGTTCAAGGGCGACACCCAAAACGCACATAAATGGTCGCCTTTCAAGAGAACACAACCCAAAACAACATATGCGTGTTGGTTGAGACACTTTGTTGAGCACAAAGGGAACCGTGCCCAGACGACTCTTGAGTTGAAGCGACCTGCACCCATTTCTTTCTTGGTGGAGGGAAAGAGACCCCAAATAGTATTGGGTTTAGTTTGACGACGGGTGGCCCGGAAGCATAGGAAAAATATTACATAAACTCTGACATCTCCCACGCAGCAGGTGAGAAACAAGCGTAAACACGCCAATGTCCCCTCGTAGCTTCTGCAAGTTCTGATGAGCAAGCTTGGCGCTGCGAATCGAAAACATCTCTCCTGTCAACTTCTCTTGCGCGCTACGCTGTGTTTTGACGCTGCTGCGCATGATGCTGCGCAGGCATGATGTTGTACATGATGCTGCGCGTGACGTTGCGCACGACGCCGTGCATGATGCTGCGCATGATGCTATGCGTGACGGTGCCTCCCGCGCATGATGCTGCGCAACCTCCCTCGCCCAACCTTTCATGTCCCTTTTTCTTGTCAACCTCTCTTGTCCATATCTGTTTGGCTGTGCAAGAAGGCTGGCGGTGCTTTCGTTGCAGAAGTGTACTTGGCATACGACTTTTGCGGTTGCAAGTTGCGGTTTTCGAGCTGGAGATGCGAGAGCGCCCTTTCCGAACATTTCCGCACTTAAAAATTGAAGTTGCGATGTTCGAGCTCGACCTGCGAGAGCGCGCTTCGCACGCTACCTTTGCGCGAAAACACTTACGACTTTGCGGCCGGAGCTGGAGCTGCTGCGGGAATGCATTCCGCGTACAGCTTTGGCCGGAGCCATGGGAACGCACTTCGCGCACCACTTTTGCACCTGAAAAGTTGCGATTTTGCAGCCGGAGCTCTCAGAAAGCTCTCCACGTACTTTCGTACTTAAACATTGTGTGTTTTCAGCCAAAGCTGCGGGAGCGCACTTCGCGTACTACGTTTGTGCTTACAATTTGCGATTTTGCAGCCGCGCCTCTGGAAATGCTCTTCACGTACTTTAATTGCATTAAAAAACCGGAGCTGCGGGAGTGCACTTCGCGTACTACTTTTTGCACTTACAATTTGCGATTTCGCAGCCGCGCCTCTGGACATGCTCTTCATGTACTACTTTGGTATTTTAAACTTGCGAATTTTCAGCCGGAGCGCACTTCCAATTTGCGATTTCGCAGCCGTCGCAAGTTTTAAGTACCAGATGCGAAATCGCGAATTGTAAGTACAAAAGTAGTATGCGACGCGCACTCCCGCAGCTCCGACTGAATATTCGCAAGTTTAAAGTACAAAAGTAGTACGTGAAGAGCATTTGCAGAGGCGCAGCCGGAGCTGCGGGAGCAATTTGCGAATTTCGCCCCTCAGCTGCGCAAGCGCACTTTGCGTACTACTTTTTGAGTCTTTCCATTTCGCAGCCAGGAGCTCTTTTTTTGCTCTTCGCGTGCTACTTTCGCAACTAAAAGTTGCGATTTTCAAGCCGGAGCTGCCGCGGACCAGGCAGGTGAACCCGAGACAAAGCGCGATCGTGAAAGCAGACGCGCGAACCACGAGACAACTTCCAACACCGCTTCGCAAGCAAATACACAAGAAAATCGAACGGCGCCACAGCGAGAGCGCTTCGACGCGCAGCATCTCCGCAGAGGGTTCGTCGAGAGCAAGACGCATTCGCACGGCGCCACAACGAGAGCGCTTCGACACGCGGGATCTCCGCAGAGGGTTCGCCGAGCTCAAGACAAATTTGCACGGCGCCACAGCCACAGCGCTTCGACACGCAGGATCTCCGCAGAGGGTTCGCCGAGAGCAAGACGACTTCGCGCAAGAGCGCTTCGACACGCAGGATCTCCGCAGAGGGTTTGCCGAGAGCAAGACGACTTCGCACGGCGCCACAGCAAGAGCGCTTCGACACGTAGGATCTACGCAAGGCGTTCACCGCCAGCAGTATGTTCAAGACAAATTCGCACAGCGCCACAGCGAGAGCGCTTTTGACACGCAGGATCTACGCAAAGGGTTCACCGAGAGCAAGACGAATTCGCACGGCACCACAGCGAGAGCGCTTCGACACGCAGGATCTTTGCAAAGGGTTAAAGACAAATTCGCATTGCGCCACAGCGAGAGCGCTTCGACACGCGCAATCTCCGCAGCGGGTTTGCCAAGCTCAAGACAAATTCGCACGGCACCATAGCAAGAGCGCTTCGACACGCAGGATCTACTCAAAGGGTTCTCCGCTAGCAAGACAAATTCGCACGGCACCACAGCGGGAGCCCATCGACACGCACAATCTCCGCAAAGGGTTGACTTTCGTCTTGCAACGCTTGCAGATGAATCAATCGCTGCGCCTGCAGCGAAACTCACAGACCCTGCTCTAAAAACATACTGCGCCCGCCACGAAAAACGGCAGTCTCACAGAATGCTCCGCCGGTCATGGAATTCTGCGGTAACACGCAAATCCGAAGATCGGCATGGCGCGGCAGCGAGAGCGCAATTTTGAAGACAGGTCCGTTTCGCGCGAAGCTCTCACCCGCAAGACAAGTTTTTGTAACAACTGCCATGGTTTTAGAGCTCCGATTGTACGAGCGTCGTAGCCTGACCCGACAAGAAGATATCACCGCGTGGCGGCCCTGTCATCAAAAAACACATTTTGCTCTCAGAAAGCACACACCCTCGTCGAAACATCAGCCTCTGCTAGCCAAAAAATGCGAACGGCACCACAGCGAGACACACGTACCAGCGCGAATCTCAATTTTGCGCGAGACTGTTGCACGCGCAAGCAATTTGAGCGCGAACCTCGATCTAAACCGGCCTTAACTCTTACCGTGAGAACCCCTTAGGTGAGAACCCCTTAGTGTAAACGCTATTGGGGAAAAATCGAACAATCCGACTAAGAACACAGGGGCTAAAAAAGTCAATCCGCTTGTGCGCGGGGCCTCCAGCATCCGACGGCCAAGAAACTCAGCCAAACCATGGAACCAAGGCAACGCTATCAAAAAAACGACCTGTTCCGCATTCTTCGTGCGATTCGTGCGGATCATTTGTAGCCCCAAGATCCAACTACATGGGCTAATAGCAGTTGAAAATCAGCTGCGCGTGTGTGTCCGAGACGAAAGAAGTCAAGCAGTCTCAATGCAAGTGTCCTTGGATCTTGTGGCTCAGCACGCATTCAGCGTTTGCACGCTTTCAGGAGGCGAAATACGCCGCTCTGTCAAAGCAAACAGCCAAGCCGCCACGCCGTTAAAGTTTGCTTGGGGCGCTTTAACCTGGTTCACAAACGTCACATCCGTAGCACGGACTGACCTGCCTGGTTCAGCGCTTCCTCTGGCTTCGGCGCACATACGCACGCGCGTGCGCTTGCCATCTCGTATAGACGCAGGCTCCGACAGCTCAGGCTGAAGGTCAACTGAAACTATGGGGGGCTCCGGATACCGGGCTTTTTCTCAGGCAGGACTGAGCTGCATCTCTGCTCCAGAGACGAGAAGAATCCCAGTTAACGAGTATGTCTTAGGCCAAAATAGTCAAATCCGCGCGCAACATTTGCTGAAAGCATGCCTCAACGACATGACCCAGAAAAAAGGTAGCGGTGCAACCGATGATCAATCCATCACAAGTGACTTGGCTTCCTGGGGAACTCCTAACAAACCTCTTTTCCGTAATGTTAGACCTCCTTCATTAATAGTACCCTCTATTGTATATTTTTTTCTAATTCAGCGTTTGACTGTTTTAGGGGTCCTCTATTATGGAAAGTTTTTTGCCGGAAGCAACGCTGGAGAAAATAAGGGCACAAAACTTGGCAAAAAAGTCGGGCAACAAAAGGACAAACAAATCCTGGCAAACATTCGGAAATCCTTTTCTTGAAGTGGTCCCCAAACCATCAAATTTAAGATAACTTCTTTACAAACAAGTGTGGGCAATCAGTCACACAAAGGGGTGCCCACAAGAGCCCTTGATCCTCGTTAGTCTGACTGCTTCTTTAGTCTGGCTGTTTTGGGGTCCTCTTTTAGTGTCCAGCTTGCGTGCGAAAAGGTGCACCGCGCCACAGCCAGAGCGATTCGACCCACCCAAAGCACAGAGGGTTCACTTTGCGTGCTGAAAATGCACACCGCGCCACAGCGAGAGCGACTCGAACCCAACGAAAGTGCTGCGCCTGCAACGAAATCTGCACGCAAGCTGGAAAGTGCTGCGCCTGCCACGAAATCTGAAAACTGAGAAAAATGAAAACCAAAGCCTCAGTCTTTTACTTTTAAAGGGGGGGCTCATCCTAAGCTCTCCCCAGCTCAAAGGCTACAGGCCTGAGATCTAGAAAATCCATTTTGCAAGTTGTTCCCGAACGATCAAATTTAAAATAAGTCCTTTACAAAAAAGTGTGGGCTATCAGTCACACATAGGGGTGCCCACAAGAGCCCCTGATCCTCTTTAGTCTGACTGTTTTGGGGTCCCCTTTAGTGTGCAGCTGGTTTCGGGGTTGCTGAAAACTGAAAACCAAAGCTTCAGCCTTTTACTTGTAAAGAGGGGGCTCATCCTAAGCTCTCCCCAGCTCAAAGGTTAAGGCCTGAGATCTAGGAAATCCATTTTGCAAGTTGTTCCCAAACAGTCAAACGTAAGACAGTTTCTTTACAAAAGCACACAAAGGGGGGTGCCCACAAGTGCACAACTTGTTTTGGTGGTGGTTGGAAAAACGGCCCCAGTACTGGGAATCTGAGAGTCAGCCTTTGCAATACTAAAGAAGAATTTGCAGTGCTAAAGCAAATACTGAGAATCTGAGAGTCAGCCTTTGCAATACTAAAGAAGAATTGGCAACGCTAAAGCAAATACTGGGAATGTGAGAGTCAGCCTTGGCAATACTAAAGTAGAATTGGCAATGCTAAAGTAAGGTCTGGAAACCAGAGAGGGGGCTCTCGCAACACTAAAATAGAATTCGCAACACAAAAGTACATAGTGTCCCTCCCAGACTAGGATTTCACTAAAGAGAGTCCAGCTGACTGGTTCCACTGTTCAAGTGGGGAAGGGGGGGGGGAGGTGCATTAATGAGAGTCCAACATTCTTGGTGGATGAACAAGAAAAAAGAAACAAACACCGATTCGGCATTCGGAAGTGGACTAGGATAATTGGAGGGTGCCGCTGAATAACTGGCGAGGAATACATAATCGCCCTTTGACGAATATGCAAGGTAGATTACTTCCCGCGAGCAAAACTGCAATTCATTCTTTCAATCACCAAATGGCCCCAACACAACGCTAATCTATCAGTACAATGGTTCCAACAAAGCAAAGTCCCAGGAACTCCAAGAAAAGAAAAAGCAGAAACAAAAGAAGATGGGCTGGAAAAATCCAAGAAAAAGCAACAAAGCACAAAGTCCACGAACCCAGAAGCTGGAATGAGCCAACAAAAGAGAAGGATCTGATCTCCAGGTGGGAAGTCTTTTCTTTCGAGGTGCATCCGAAGCTGTGCAGGCCCGCCCAGTCCACGCCTCTCGTGCATGTCTCCAAGCCTTGCCTCAAGACGTCGGATTGATTTTTCCGGGTCGCAAAAAGCCTCAAAACTATTAAGACGTCGTTGCGTTTTTTTTGGGGGTCGCCCTTTGAACTCAACCAACGAAAAACAAGATGCCAATTCCATTTCGCATGGAAATCCACTGGGCCTCTAAGAACTCCGCATCGGGGGTCGAACATGTAGCGCCGCCCCAAGGGTCCAAGCGCGCCAGGCTCAAGCTTAAGGGGCCAGGATGCAAAGGGAAGGATCTGTCTGACAGGGCGGGTACAATTTTGGACTTTTGAAGAGCAACCATGGAGAAAGATCCCAAATTTAACACGGGACGTCCACAGATTCCTTGAGGGCCTTGTTTCTTCTCGACCCCCAACCTGTTTCTTTGGCAACAGGTTACATGGAGGACTGATTCTCTCAACCACTGAAGGTGCTGAGATTGCTGTACCCACAGCTCCTTGCAGAAAACAAAGTTTTCGAACATCTCTGGTTTTGGAATAGCACTTGTCATTGGGTCCTTTCAACCCAAACGGTTTTCACAATCTAAGCAGGTTCTACGAGACCCTGTTGGGAAAGGGCCCTAGTGATTTTCCGTGGCGTGAGCTGCAACATGCGGGTGTCTTTGTTCGAGTTGGTGCCCCATTTGTGTGGCGTGAAAAGAAGAAGACCGAAATCAGCTTTGGCGCAAAACGGAGTTGGGATTGCCTGCCCAAGAGTTGTTTGTAGGTAGTCAATATAATTCTGAGGGGGGGTCAGGAACCCTTCCCCAAAAATTGGAAAAGGGCGCCACTGGGCAACTGTGAGTTATCTGAGCCAAAGGGGAGTTGCTTTTAAAAATCCTTTGTCCCCGGAGAACCTTTACAAATTTGCGAAAAGAAAAGGACCCCTTCAAGTGAAAAACAAGAATATAACATCCGTTAATATTTCGCCAGCCATACTGATCTGCGCTACAGTTGGCGGGACAGCTGCGCTTGCTCACAAAACGAGCAGAAGCATGAAGCAACAAACCAATGGCTCAAGGGTTCTATCAGCTTTCGGACCTCAGCAACAGTCCAGCTGCGCTGTGTGTCTTCGAGCTCGAAGAGCGAGGGCAACCCTACCCGTAGGGTATACCGCTGACGTGTTTTGTTGCACCAGAAGCTCCTCCTTAGCATCCCCTGCATCACCCGGACACAGGCCAGCCCAAACATTTGGATCCCAAAACATCCCCGACATCCGTGGCCTTGCGACGGGCTCCTGATGCCACGTTGCCCAACTTTCAAAAAAACACTGTAAATCCTGTGCAAAACGCCCTACTCATTTGTCAAAAAGAACGGAATGCCCAGGAAGCATCCCCGACAAGACCTCTCCCCAACCTGCCAACCTGGCTGAAGCCCTCCACCAAACCCCAAGATTGCAGGGGTACAGAGCTCAAAAGGCTGTGGCTATTTAATACACCAACCATGACATGCTCTGACTCCACGCCAAAATGGTATGTCTGATTCCGGTCAATATTTAGTGAACCTTAATATGTAACAAATCCAAGAAAGACACTGGTTGCTATCCAGTACCCTACTAAAACCGCAACACGTGCTGGCTGGTGGACGCCCCCCCATCCCGATTTCGAGTAGTCTTGGAACGGAGGGTCATACACTAACCATGTCTGCTGGTAGAGTATCCTTTTGATTGTTGTTCCATTATTTGACGTAAGGGCATATTTCCGACCCTGGTTGAAGAAATCGACAAAGTGGCAAACAGGACATGCCTGGGCAAATCAATATTTTTGTCACACAAAGCATGGCATAGCTTCCTCACCTTTAGACCTACTCATTCTCTACTGAAACTACGTAAAGGTTTATACATAGCCTGCAGAGGCGGGAAATGCATAGACATTCATACCAATCCTTATTGGCAAGCCGAGCGCAGCAAGAAAGCGGAAGGGAAAGAACAAGCGAGACAGCAACTTGCAGGGCTATGTTTTCCCCTTAAACATCACCTCACCAAGAGGATCATCTAAAAGTGCCCATGCCCCAAAAGGAGATGCTGAAGCCTGCTGACAAGGTAACTGCAAGGCCTCCCGACTGATTAAGGTCTAGAAGGAACTCCGAGGAACCGAAAGCTTGACTCCAAGTGAGTCTTGTCCGTGCCTCCAAACAACACATGTGGGCCGTGGTGCTCACATGTGCTCACAAAAGAAATGGTGGGAGCGAGCCAATGTTCCGAGAAATGTGCGGGACAAATGCGGAAACGGGACACAATGGAAAACCACCCGGAGTTTGAACACCCCAACGGTGCCGGTGCCCCTTAACCAGGTTTTCAGGGAAATCGGTTGGGTTTCCAAGCGATGCCAATGTGAGTGAGGGTCGCAAAAAATCGAGTGGAGTCGGGTGAACATGAAACCAAGTGGGTGTTTCTCAAGACTGGGGACCCCTCCAAGTGGTTTCCGATTGGTTTCAAGCAACAAATCCCAAGGGGTCCCCTATTTTGAGCACCCAAGCAAACCCAGAATCATAGGATGATGTGTGCAACTATATACCCTGTAGGTGTCTGTTTTCAAGGCTTTCCGAAAAAAACGCCAAAAGCATCCGCCATTTCGGTTGTCCCTGTACACCTTTGCCATGGCACGTGTAGCTCTGGATAATGCGGAAGGCCGCAGTGGAGTTTGTCATGAGAGCTGCTTCGGGCTTCCCTTGGCTCTTCGGGTCCTGCCGAATTAATGTGCTCAATGGCACTGCCCCGAAACTTGAAGCAATCATGGCCATGGGCTGGGGGGAGGGAGGGGGCGGGGGGAGGGAGCCCAAATAGGCCCTAAATGTTGCCTCATTAAGAGCTGAATAAGGGCTTATTTGGGCTCCCTGCCCCTCTGCTCCCCCCCATGAAGCTGAGTAAACCAAGTTAGTGACTTGGTGGTAGCCTGGGCTATAACCCACTTGTGGGGTTCACCCACTCATTACTGGCTTATGACCGAAGTGAACCACTTACTAACTTGAGTCACAATCAAAACCAGGTTGACAACCAGAACCATGCTTCAGGAAATACAAAGGCAGATATCCGCGACTATTTCTGGCTGGGATTGTCCCTGTCTAACCTTCATCTTCCCGTGTTTTGATTGTGGCTCAAATGGCGCTGCCCCAAAACTTGAAGCACATACCAAACAAATGACTAGAATACACATACTTTGTCAACCTTGAAACATGATGAGACTACATATCATTAAACGTAAACTTGGAATCCTAACATATTTAGTATCATGACTATGTATATAGTCTTAGTGAGTCATCCTCAAAGCAGAACATTTTTTCTGAGACCCAGAGTCAACATTGGAGGGACCCGGTCCCAACAGCAGTTGTGGGACCCGGTTACAATTTAGAGGGTTATTTTAGGGATGTCTGCCACTATAAGATACTCAGGAAATCCGTTGACTTTCGCTGTCAAGAGGGCTGTGAAAGCAGATATGGGTGAGTACGTTGAAGGTTTTTGTTACAGTTTCCCTATTGAGCACTCAACATCAAAACACCCCTGCATGTCATGTGGATGACTATATCAAAATATATACATATACACATAACAAAAACAACACACATAAAGCAACTACATATGTTTATATAGCATCTATGTGGGCACCCGGCGATGGACTCTATTTGGACAGTTTCACAGACTCCAGCCGATAAAGTTATATTTAGACTCTATTTTTGGAGAACCGCATATCTAAACTGCTCTTTGACATTGAACTCCTTGACAGCAAATGTGAAAAGGAAGTTGTACTTAAAGCTCTGGTTTGACATTGACACCCAAATCAGGCTTCCATGGCGATGTTGACTCAAATTTGGAGAAACACACCTGGAACATAAACTCCCACTTGACAGCAAATGTGGAAAGGAAGTTTTTCTTAAAGTTCTTGATTGACATTGACACCCAAATCAGGATTCCATGTCGATGTTGACTCACATTTGGAGAAACACATATCTAGAGTGTTATGTGAACACAAACTCCTACTTGACATCAAATGTGGAAAGGAAGTTGTACTTAAAGCTCTGGTTTGACATTGACACCCAATTCAGGATTCCATGGCGATGTTGACTCAAATTTGAGGAACACAAATCTAGAGTGCTATGTGAAAACAAACTCCCACTTGACATCAAATGTGGAAAGGAAGTTGTACTTAAAGCTCTTTTTTGACATTGACACCCAATTCAGGATTCCATGGCGATGTTGACTCAAATTTGGAGAAACACATATCTAAAGTGCTCTCGGAACATAAACTCCCACTTGACATGAAATGTGGAAAATAAGTTGTACTTAAAGTTCTGCGTGACACTGACGCCAATTCAGGATCCCATGTGGATGTTGGAGAAATGCATATCTAAAGTGCTCTTTGAAAAGTAAGCCAGCATCGACCCCAGATAGCATAAAACAGGTCGAGGATTCCACACTGCTCGTTGGTAGCCAGATCATATCAAATTCACGGACTTCTGGGTGTAATTGAGAGAACACAAAACCTTAAGTGTTCTTGTTTGCTCCATTTGTGCGGGCTGCGCAGGTGCTTGAAGATTGCAGAAGGTGAAGGGAAACTTTGAACAGGGGCAGGATTTGATTGAAAGAGCACTCAAAGGCAGCACCTGCAGCAGCACCCCCATGCCCCGGCCATCAATCTTACAAAAATGCGCCCACACCGTCACCAGCATTCAAACAGCACCTGCACCACCACCCCCCCTCAAGCAGCCCCCGAACAGCACCCCAGAGAAGCACCTGCGCCAGCACACCAAACAGCACGCCCCCTAGCATCTGGCCGCCATCTCGCAAAAATGTGCCCCCACCGTCACCACTGCATCAGCACCCCATTCTGCATGGGCTGTCAGTCTTGCAAACATGTGACACCATCACAGCACCACCAACTGCATGCCCCTAGCACCCTGCCGTCATTCTCGCAAGTCACCTTCCCTTCTTTATCAGAAGTAAGAAGCCATATATATATATATATATATATATGCACCCCCCCCCAAAAAAAAACACAGGTTTTGAACCTGGACAATTGCCAAAATCACTAGGAAAAATGCTACTTTTGAGAAACATGTGTAGTCAAACAACCAGTCAGCAAGTCAGCTAATTAGTCAGTTAAATAGTTGTAATGAATGAGCTCTGAAGCCAGTTAGCTAGTTAATTGGCTAATCAGCTAGTTATCTATTTAGCTGCCTAGTTAGTTAGATAGTACTGAAAGTATTCCCCTAATATTCCCCTTCCCTGACTAGTGAAATATTTAGGGAACACTAGCTAGGGGTAAACCAAGAGATGCTAAAGGAATACTAGCGCAATACTAGGGGAATACTAGGGCAATACTAGGTACATACTCAGGGAATACGAGGGCAATATTAAAGGTGAATACTGGGATAATACGCCGGAGTACTGAGGGAATACTAGGGGTATACTCTCAAGCTCAATCTGTCTGACTTCTCTCAGGCTTCCTGACTAGGGCAATACCAGGGCACTACCAGGGAAGTACTAGGAAAATATTTATAGGTGAATACCGGAAGAATTCTAGGAGAATACTGAGAGAAAACTAGGGGTATACCAACAGAATACTTAAGGAATACCAGGGCAATACTCAAGGTATTCCCTTAGTAATTCCATCCCTTTACTAGGGGAAATAGCAAGGGAATACTATGGGGTAGTGAGGAATTACTAGGGGTATACCAAGAGACTAGTAAATTAACTGAATACTAGTGCAATAACATGGGAATACTAGGGCAATCATAGGGCAGTACTAAGGAAATACTCAGGGAATATTAGGCCAATATTAAAGGTGAACACTAGGAGAATACTATGAAAATGCTGAGAGACTACTAGGGGTATACCAAGAGAATATTTAAGGAATACTAGGGCAATATTGAAGGCATTCCCCTAGTATTACCCTTGCCTTACTAGGAAATACTAAGGGGCACACCAAGAGAATACTAAAGAAATACCAGGGCAATACTAGGGAAATACTCAAGAAAGACTAGGGCAATATTAAAGGTGAACACACGGAGAATACTATGGGAATTCTGAGAGAATATTAGGGGTATACCAAGAGAATATTTAAGGAATACTAGGGCAATACTGAAGGTATTGCCCTAGTATTTCCCTTCCCTTACTAGGAAATACTCGGGGCATACCAAGAGAATACTAAAGGAAGACTAGGGCAATACTAGGGAAATACTCAAGGAAGACTGGGGGAATACTAAAGGAGCATACTAGGAGAATGCTGAGGAAATACGAGGCTCAATTTGTCTGGACAAATCACCAGGGCAATACAAGAAAAATACTCAGAAAATACGAAAGCGTCGCATGCGTTCTTGAGGTCATCAAAGGTCATATCCTCAGGCTCTTTGGCCATGCTAGGACAGGGTCAGAACAAAGGGCAGAAGAGGAGTAAGGAAGGGAAATAGCAAGGGAAATAGCGCTGGAGCCAGACAGCTTCAAATATGGGCTCGGTTCTGCTCAGATGCCAAGGAAAACTGAAAAAACTGAAAATACGGAAAAACTGAAAAAAACATGAAAAAAACTGAAAAAAACTGAAAAACCAAGGATTCTGAGGGACATTCATTTTTTTCAGTTGTTTCATGTGTGTTTCATTATTTTTTTAGTTTTTTTTGTTTGTTCAGTTTTGCAGAGAGTTTCTTGTCTGAATTGTATTGAGGAATTGCCAGAGAGTTTCCAGAAAGCTTCCTTGCAAACTGAAAAAACAGCCTGACAACTGAGGGTTCTGGCAGATTCAGGTGTTTTGTCAGAAAACACAGTAAATACCAGTGTTTTCAGACCAAACCTGTTTTTTTTTTGGGGGGGGGGGGGGGGTACCATATATATATATATATATATATAGCTTTCAGCTATCTGGGGCATAAACTCAAAATTGAAATCAAATGTGGAACGGACGCTGTACTTAAAGCTATTGTTTGACGTTGACACCCAATTGAGGATTTGGACTCTATATCCCAAAAACTAAATCTAAAGGCAAACCCGTGGAACCTGACATCCTGTTTGAGTTCAAGATGGATTTCCTTCTACATGTCCATTCAAATCATAATTACGCACACATTACTTCACATCAATTTGGATTGAACTAGAAACGTGCGGCATCTCCGTTCCTTGCGTCTACATGCTGAATAAATCCGCTTTACCATCAAGTGTGAAAGTAACATGACAAAAATAAAACACACACACACACACACAGTTTCTAACTACGTGCTGCTTGTCTAACTCGGCTAAATGTTTCGCCAAACTCTATTGAACATAAATTGTGGGCGGATTTCTAAGTTAATTGTCTGGCTCAAAGCCAGACCAAATTCAATTTAAGCATATTGTATGTACTTGTATACTTTGATTACTCTTAGCGCGCATGCAATCAACTAACGCGTTGAATTTCAATTTAAACAGGGTAAACCATCCTTGTCATATTCCATTTTATATCCAATTTAGCACCAACCGAACCAAGCCAATAACAGAACCTCTGTCAAACAACATGGCTCTGCCCCTCGCCACAAAGACAAACTAGAAGTCCTCCAGTGCAGAGGTTAGAACAAGGGTACCCTTTTTCTGTAGTCTATTTTAGTGGGGGAACCCTCCCGCAAAAAAGGGGCCGGGCACTACTGGGGGACCCAGATGTCTATTTTAGTAGGGGAAAAAAGGGTAAAAGGAGAAAGGGCACCTAGCTGGGGGACCCAGCAAACTGTCCAGCCCTGAAAGCTGTCTGAAACACGTTTGATGCTGTCCAGGTTTCGTTCCGTCGATCTGAACATTTGTCTGGGCAATCTTTGAACAAAAATAAAAAAAATCCATGAAAGTTTGTTTAACGGCATGTTTGAAGCTCTTCCCCACATTGAGACCTTGCTTGTTTGCCAAGAGTGCCGATTCGGCCCCTTTTTTGAGATCAACACATGACCAAACAAACGCTGAAAGGCTTGGTGAAGAGCTTGCAATAGATGCACGTCTGAGTCAAGCCAAGCTAGAGACAGCATCTTGCAATACCCTGGTCGTGAGGGCCTAGTTCCCCGATAACCAACACATACCTTGGTCATGGTCATCCCTAATCCTAATCTGTCCGTGGTTGGATCACAAACTTGGAAAGGAAACCGCTATCGCAAGGGTCTTGCGAATTGATTTTTAACCCCAAAGAGTCCCTTGGTACACTTTGATTGCTTTGGGGTGGCTAGGTGTCAGCTTAGAGGGTACCTAAAAACCCTTGAGCTCGACGTCATCACTTCATGGACCCCTAAGCAGGGCTATGGGGAGGCGGGAGGCTATGGCTATCCCATACTAAGCCCTTAAGGCCTTTTTAAGGGCTTATCCTTCGCTTTAGGCTTATCTAGGGCGTAGCCCCCCCCTAGCGCCCTAGGAGTTCATGATCGCATCGCTCCCTTTCGCTCCGTGTAGCTGGAGATGGTGAATCCCCCACCCGCGTAGCTCGCAAACGTGCTCGATTGGTTCAGGCGCTGCCTGAGGTGTTCTGGGCGGTTTCCATCGACCTTTCCCGCCCAACAAGGGATCCCGAGAGGGAAACTCACGAAGGGATGGCGCAAACATCGATCATTGTAAATCCACCCGTTACTGGAAATATCGGCCCTGGTACGAAATGGACATGACTTGTGTTGAGGGTATTTGGTGCTTCTTCTTCTTTTTCTTTGGGAGGGGGGATTCGCAGAACGAAATGAGACCGATTGAAAATCGACGGGGTGTTTCAAAATCACGGTTCAAAGGAAACCACCCATTTGGGGAAATCCCGCATTCCAAGAAAAGGTTTTGCTAGTGCCTTTGTGCTCCCAGTTAAATTAATCGTGTCTTGCTGATTTAATGTCCATGTGTGCTTTGTCTATGGTATTAGTCATGGCTTCATGGTTTCCGGATTGCTGGTGCAGCTAGGTCTTTGACCGCAAGACTTTCTGTGTTTCAAACCATGTTTTCCTTGGTGCATTTTGCTTGGATGTTAGGACTTTAACTTTTTGCAAACTAATGGGTTTTCCATCAAACCACTAAAAGTTAAACTTTTAGCAGGGGAGCAGAAAGCAACCAGGCTTCCCGTTTTCTTTCGGTTGTAGGCATTTGCGTCCTTGTCTGTTTGTTTGTGTCTGTGTGTGTGTGTTGTTGTTCTTTGTGCTTTCTGCTCTTTTCCTCCCGCGCATGTTTGCGGCTCCCAGAATGGACCTAATGGACCTGCAACATGTTTTTCTTGCGAGGCAAAATGAGTCCCCCTATTCGCAAGCGACCACTTTGCGTGTCGACCCATGTTGACCCAATCTCATGTTGATGTTGGTGCAATCCATTCGCCGGTTCTGAATATCCTGGCTGCGGCTGACCCGAAGCCTGAAGTTTGTGCCTACCCAATGCACCCTATGTACCCTAGGCCAAGCTAAAGGGTCCCCATGTACCCTGCCACAAAGAACGAAAGAAACTAGTCTTCCGAAAGGTGTCTGCTCCGCGACCCGGGCACAACAAAGTAAGAGTACAAGGATATGTAACCCATGTTGGTAATCGACATCCTCGACATTACCTTAGTGGTGCAAAGGGTTTCCCACCGGAACCTCAAAACTAATTTGAGCTTGGGCCCGTCACAGGGTCCCAGTCGCAAAGTCGGTCTGCTTTTCTTTATTTGTTGAGCGTCTTTTGTTCATAGACCAAAACAAGGTGGCAGATGTTACCACTACTTTAACATCGCCATCTGGGGAGACAGAAAATAAGTCTGTTTCCCACTTAGGCTGCCCCCAGAAAAAAAAAAAGAAGCTTGAACGAGACCCCCGGGACCTTAGGCTGCCCCCGCCAAAGAAGAAAGAAATGCTTGAAGGCGCCCTCCTCTCCCGGCTGAGGCACACCATGACCGGGGACAATGCCAGGCACTGCTCCAAGCCGCGACAGGTCAGGGAGCACCCCAGGATCTTGCCTCTGGCAACTCCTTCCGTTTGGTTAAGGCCCCAGGCTTATTTCCACTTGTGATGAATTCCTTTAATTCCCTGTAAATTGGTGTGGCAAGGGGACCAACAAAAAAACAATGTTCTTAAGCAACTGGAGGACTCCAGTTAAAAACCAAATGGGTGTGGCTCAAAATTAAACGATCGGAGGGGCAAACCGCAGGTTTTGGTCCATGTGTCCACTTACCAGGTTGATTTTGGTGCCGGTTTTTTGAGCCACAGCCAAATGAACGGAACATATCCCCTTTGGTGCCGAGGACTGCCAATCAGTCTCCAAAAATGGCGGGACGACTCCCTCGATTCTCGATGCTTTCAAAGGGAAACAGCAACGGAACCAGTCGCAGCCCCACTGGGCTGCGACTTTTTGGAGGGTACCCCATTTAGTGCATTTTAAATGTCCCGAATAAGGGAGACACCCAACGGTTAAAACGCGACATAGCAAATCCACAGTCGGAGCCGCTTGGGGCGATCGATTCGGTACATCAGGTAAGTGGTTAGCAAGGTTGGTGAAATACCCCACACAAGTCATGCTTATGAGTTTTCGGAGACTAACCAGGCCGACTAACTACTAAGTACACTGCCCCTTTAAGTGGGAGGTTGTGAGAATCAGGGTTTGCCGCCTTCCGAGGAATTAGGCCTTAAGAAGGCCAAAGTTTCCCTGTGATACACTGGGCAAGATGCCTGTTGCTTGCCTTGCTGAATCGATAGGCAGGGAATGAGAATTGGAACGACCCGGGAAGAAAAAAAAGTCCCTTGCGGTTTCCTTTAAGGGGACCCCTGGGTAGTTCCCAAAAGCCGGACTCGGTGATTCCTACCGAGAACCGGCAAGTTGTTGGTATCCTAATTTACGGGGCAACGACGCCAAAATTCGAGGGGCCAGAATTGCGACACCCCCCCATAGAAGGGCCGAAGCAGTCAATGGGATTGTGGGTTGCCTTAAAACCGACTCAGTAGCAAGCTGTTCATAATTCTGCGCTAATCATTTCAAGGAATCTTCATGTCCAAGAAAAACACTGCATACCTGCATGCTAAGGTCACAACTGGAATTGGACAACTTGATGACTTCTTTGCTGACCGGAAGGGCACCCTTCCCAGACCTGAAGTGGCCCTCCGCAGAAAAGGCAAGGAGTCCATGCGTTTACCTTGGCGGTTCCCAGATCCCCGGCCAAAGGTCTGAGTAATTTTGTGGAAACTACCACTAAAACCAAAACTGCCGAATAGCTGGGAACCGCCAAGTTGCGGGCAACCCTTTTTACCCTGATTTTCCAAGGGAACCCACCTTGGTTGCTGTTGACCCGCCTGCAAAAAGTTTAACTTTTGGGGGGGTTTAGTGGAAAACCCCTTGATTTCCCAATGGGCGTCAACCACCATTCTGGGGGTCCCCCGATTCGTCCCCCAGAGCTCGGGTCCCCCGCTTTCTGTAGCAGTGACATTGCAGAGAGCACCGCCAGTCACGGCGCCAGTTGCGGCGTCCAAGCCGGGATCTCGACCTGCGGAACAGGAGGCGTTTCTGACCCCGGATCGGATCAGAACCCCTGGTTGATTGATGGGGGGTGTCCATTTGGTGTCCATTTCTGGTTTTAGTGAGGATTTAAATCACTTTTATCACTTTTATCCCTTTTGGAGACGTTTCTCAACATAGAGGTCTGAGACGGGGGCTTGGGCGCGGCCCACTTCTGTGATACTTCAGATTGGAAGTTGTTTCACGCCGATAGACCCACCATGTCAATGGGTCATGGCTATAACCAGTCTAAACTGGGCTGCCCGTTTTCTGATTCCCCGCTGAAAGTGACTAACTTTTAGTGGGTGAAATGGAAACTACCAGTAAACACTAAAAGGCTAAAAGGCTAAGGGGATGGCTGGGAGTCACCAAGAAATGGTTGCTTTCCTTCTCCCGTCAAAAAAGTGAATAAACTCTTTCAGGTTCCCATCAGTGGTTTGACCGGTTGCCTACTGGTGCATTGATCCCCTATTTTGCGTGGTCCTCGTGAAGTAAAATGAGACAAGCACCTCTGATACCAGAGCACACCTCTGGCTGCGTATGCCCAGCTGTGTTCGCCTGTCAAACATCGGCCACACCACATAAGACGCAGCCAGCGATGTTTTGCTTGAATCCCGAGCACTCTGTGAACGCAAGAGTTGACGTTGAGGCCAAACAAAGCTAAGGGCTTGTGACCCCTGGCCTCCAGAGGTATCCGTTCTTCTGAAATGGGTAGGGGTCAAATTAAACCACCAGGAATTGGACCGCGGGTTTTGGTCCATGTTTCCACTTACCAGGGTTCCATTTGCGGTACTGATTTTTGACCCACAGCCAAATGATGAAACGTCTAACCCTGTGGTCAAAACCCTATGCAAGTCCCTCAGGCAGAGATCCAATCCAGTCATGGGCTAAGACTATGGGAGACTGATGGGAGGCTGCCTGTGCAAACTCTGCAACAAGGGGCCGCCATGACAAAACACTTGCACAGTGGTTTCAACAAACCAACATGATATGAGGGTGCGAATCTCTTTTTGAGGGGTGGCTCTTCTGCGTGACTTTTGCAGCCCAAGAAAAACAAGAAAACCAGAGCCCCCCATTTCCAGAAGTCTGTCCAATTCCATGTATCCATCCTGAGAATCTGAAGAGCTACATGCCTTCTTGCTTTTGCAGTGTCGAGTTATACGGAAGCAGAAACACTTCTCCGCGTCCTTGCCAAATCGACGGCAACGAACCAAACTGAAACCCGTGTTTCGCCTATCAATATCTGAACTCAACAAAAACGACACTAATGGGTTCTCGACCACAGAAATTTCCCTCCCTCCTGAAAAAAAATATGGATGGCTGGGGGGTAAAGAAGGTAAAGAAGGGTGCCTCCTCCGAAGGTACGACCCGCTGACTGGGAGCTGTTCCTGTTTCCTCACCGGTCTGCGCCTGCTTCCAGCGGCTTTCCCAGCCCGCCGAGAGATGGCAAGACGATCTTGACCCGAGGGTACACGACCAGAGACCTGTCTCCCACACTCTCCAAATAGGTATATATATATATGCCTTGTTGTACAACACATATATATATATATATATGTATACCCTGTTATACGTATTCATATACATGTGCATATACATATACATATATGTGTGTAGGTATATACATATGCATATCCATGCGAGTCAATATGCCACACATGGAGTGTTTAAGGATGATCCAAGATGTCCACCAAGCGACTGCCGGGACGCAGGGGAAAACGGGGGGGGGGGGGGGGGGAATAATTAAGGATTTTTTGGTGAACCAGGGACACAAGAGGAACTGTCTGTCTCCACTTTTTCGGTGTCAACAAACAATATCGCCGCTTGAACACTTCGGTGTCCATTTTCCGAACGTCTTTGAACAAAAACACCCCTTGCGCAAGCAGAACACCTCTCCGAGTCCGTCGCTTGGGACCACGGAAAGTCGAAAAAGGAAAGCCGGAGTAACAAGCATTAGTTTGACCCTGAGGCCATAGGTGTCCTTTTGGGAGAAATAGATGGCCCTGGTAAATGATCAAACCACCAGGTAAACCAGTGTCATCTATTTTCGACCAAAACAACCGAAAAGGGCACCTATGCCTGATGCAATTTGAGGCATTTGTTCGTCATGGTGAACCCCCGTTTTCTTTTTATCGGTCCTTACAGGGAACATTAAATAATACTGACGCCAAATTAATCAACCCTTGTTGGTTAATATGGGGGTGTTCCCCTCAAGTGATAAATCCCCCACTAAAACCAAAAATAGACACCCCCATATAAATTAACAGGTGTGCATGTGTATGAATATGGAGTCAACATTACGAAGGTGGCTTTAAGAGGATATGGGACATTGAGGGCTCGTCCCTTGGTCGGAAATCAGCTCGTACCAAAACAATGACTCGCACAGATTCCAGGGGAACCCGCGAGGAGAACACCCCGAAAAAAGGTTTCTTACGAGTACTAGAACCAAAACCAACCAGGCGCCCCGAAACATGTGGGGCCAAAGCCCGCAAGCTCTCCGAAAGGGTGTGGCGAGGACATGAAGATCAACATAGCTCTGGCGAGTCATATGACCAAGGATTTGGTTGCAAGTGAGCCGACCACAAGTTCGGGTGAAGGTCCAGAAGGACTACCGCGACAAAACTATCAGGCCCACGTGGCACATAAGGCTGAAAGGCCCATCGAGCCGGGTTCCCATAGTTTGCGCTTTTGAACATCACCTCAAGAGGACACTTGCTTTGAATTGGTCCAACAAACAATTGATTGAACCACCGAAAGTGGACACATAATCTTAACCCCGGATTAATAAACCCCTGGTTGATTTTGATCGGGGGGTGTCCCCTTTTAGTGAGGATTCATCAGTTTTGGAGGGAACACCCCCCTAATACTGGGACGAGTTTACTAATCCTGGGTCAACATTACATGAAACTCTGCCCTTTTGGCACCCATTGATCTTCACCGAATTACAAGGAACCATTTTCTTGCGGGGGGAGTCCCCTATATGAGACAACCGATCATTGAAGATGCCGCAAACAAACATCAGCAAGACCTTTGCTCGGCTCCAATTTGTGAATCAGGTGAAACAAGTCTGATCGATAAATCAGGTGAAACAACAAACATCAATGGTGTAAGAATTCATTGGAGACCCTCTGCTCACCAACCACTTGTAGTTAAATGGGTGGGAAATCTCTTTTGATTTGTAAGAGAACATCCCAAACCCTCCAAGAAGATGAAGATCGATGAACGGGTGCCCTGCCTTTTACAAACCCGGACAAACTGTGACCGTGTGACCAGGGAGAAAAAACCAAACTTCGGCCACACAAAACACCCTTGTGGTAAACTTCTTTGTGGCGACCCCGGTTTAATCCATTCATTGGTGTCCCTGGGTATAGTGGGGAATCAAATCACTTTTGGAGGGCCCTATTGATAGGACAGGCTCATCCCGGGTCCACATTGCCTCAACTGAGTCACCCCAGGTCACCTCGACCCCAACTCCGCTACAACTCCACCCAACTCCCAACCTATGCCGATTGAATTCCGTCAAGGCAGGCTGTTGGGTGCGGGCGTCAAGCGTCAACATTACATATATGGACTCGTAGATGTGCTTTAACAAGCTTATACCTAAATCGGGGTTCCCAGTATTTGCCCCTTAAAAGTGATGGGGGAATACAGGGACCCTAAAACCAACACACCCAGCCACACCATACAACATGGCCAATCGTTTTGAGACGGACTTGTAGCCACATAGTGGGAACACCGGATGAATATACCCCTAGTTGATTAGTTGGGGGGTGTCCCCTAATAGTGGGCATTCATCATTGGAGTACTGTGGATGGACGAACTCCTGCACCACCTACGAAGCCCAAAACTGATATGTTCCTGTAAGTACTGACTGTAACAAACGTTCTGGTGTCCACTTCAGGGTTTCATTTCGGAGGTGCGGAATGCAAATGTCGCAGCCATCCCTAATAGGACTTGGATGAATATACCTCTGGCTGACTCATAGAATTCATCTCTGGAGGGGTTTTCCCCCACCACCACCACCACCCATTCATGGGATGCGTAGTTTTTGTTCACCTACCAGGCATCGAGCTGTGGATTAGGAAACCTGTTGGAAAGCCCACTTGAAATCCCAAAGGAACAGCCCGAAAAGAACCTTCCTATGTTTGTTTAACTGTGGAGTTTCATTCGGAAAACCCCTTGATTTCAACCAAAAAGTTAAAGTCGACAGGTCCAATCAAGGTTAATGCCAACCCCGGATTAATAAAGCCCCGGTTGATTTTGATCGGGGGGTGTCCCCTTTTAGTGGGGGATTCAGAGCACTTTTGGAAGAACCCCCTAATTTTGTGGGACATGTGTATTAATCCCCCAAGTGCCTCCTTTAGAAGGTACTTAATGGGACAAGTCCCTTTTTGTTTTCCTTTTCTAGGTCCTCCAGTAGAGAGGATAGAATAAGGGTACCAACTTTTTCGGTAGTCTATTTTAGTAGGGTTTTTCAGGGCGTCGATTTTGGGGGAACCCTCCCAACCACAAAAGGGCTTGAAGGGCACTACTGGGACCTAGACCCCGAACCTGGTCAAATATGTGAGATGTTACTAGATGTCCAATACAACGGGTTCAATAACCCTCACACTCACACTCACACACACAAACACAGACACAAACACACACACTTGGGTTTGTCTCAAAATAGAGGTACCCCAAAAAACAGTTTTCCCCGTTGGTGTCCAGTTAAACCCATCAAAAAGGGGTCCCCCCATAAAACGAAAAGCATCGCCGAAAAGCATCGCATGGAGCTGTCGAGCTGCTGGCAGTGGGTCAGGAGGGACCCGGTCCGCGCGTCCTGCGCCAGGCGCCCGAAGCGCATGGGGCCCAAGACGTTGCCCACGAAGCGCGCCACGAGGCCTGTGGAAAGGGGGGGATTTGGGGGTTGGGGGTTTGGGGGTTGGGGGTTGGGGTTGGGGGTTGGGGGCTCACTTTTTGAGCTGCTTTGGCTAGGGAAAGTCAAACTGTGGTCGTCCAAAAAAGTGACGAACGTCCACGAACTCAGTGAGAAGGCGCTTCCTCTTTTGGTCCCAACCCCCCCAAACTCCCCCCAACTCCCGCCAAAACCCCCCAACCCCCTCAACCCCCACCCCCCCAACCTTGCAACACCCTCAACCCACAACCCCGCCCACCCCCCAACCCCCCCAGCTGCCCGCCAACCCCCCAACCCCCCAACACCCTGACACACCCCCCCCCCCTAACCCTCCAACGTCCACCAACCCCACCGACCCCAAGGTGCGGTGCTGGACGGCGGCCCAGAGGTCATTGAGATGGTGCGCTTGCGCCCCGCTGAGCTTTTTACCAGGGAAGGGCCTGGGAGTTTTTCCGCCTGTGATGGGACACTAAAACAAAGGGATCTTGTTTCGCCTCTCTCTCAAAAGAAACCGAGCCCAAAAAGAAGTACCCAGGAGACAAATCAACCTTCAGGACCCAACATCTCAATTAGCCCGAGTTCTTGGCGTCTACATCTGAGGCGTATCCTGAGCATGCGCTGTTGGGTTTAGTGATGTGCGCCCCGGTGCTGGAATAGCCGTTCGTGCTGTTCAACAGCCTTCAAAATGTCCCATTCGCTGCCAAGGGCTGTGTCTGAGCTACATTCAGCTTCGACGCTTGTGCACTACGGAGAAAAAAACAAGTTTCCTTGTTTTGGAACCATCCATCCTTTGATTTGGAAGGTCAAATTCCCTTTGAAGGGACTCCCTCTCAGCTGCCAAGAGGGTACCCTCCAAATCCATTCGCTCATTGGTCAGAAAGGAATATGACCTTCAAATGCTCAATTGCCCTTGCAAGTAGGAGCCCGGTTTCTGAACAAAAGGCAAAACAGATAGTTTACAATGGCGGATAACAGGAGTTTCCCAGTGTCCTAAAAAACTAGCACTCAGCATGGTCTTTGGTCACTGCCAGCACGAAGCGCTAGTACAAGCTTCCGTGCGCGCAAATTGCCATCACATAGCTTGCATGATTAATACCCCGTGTATCCCCGTGTGCTTTTGCCCACTTACTCGCGCAAGCGCAAGCAATGGCAACCCCAAACCTGCCGACTGATCTTTTGCTGCACTGTTTCCCAGAATGTGTAGTACTAGGGTTCCCGTTGCACAAAAGGGGGTCAGCCACAGCGTCTGCGAGCATTTTCGCAAGACACCCCCCCTCCGCCCCCCACACCCCAGAAAGAAATCACAAACAACCCCCCCCCCAACCCCCCAACACCCTCAACTCACAACCCCCCCCCCAACCCCCCCAACTTCTCCCAACAACCCCAACCCCCAACCCACAAACCCCCCAAGCCCTGAAGAGAGTGCTGAGTTTGGCTAGATTATCCCACTCCCTGAGGTCCGTTTCGGACCTTATCGACTCGTGGTTGCCACTCAGGAACTGGGCGTTAGGCCCCATGTCTCGTTGATCCAAAGAAAGACACATCGGGCTTTGAGATTTTAGGCACAGGAAAAAGCGGAACAGTTGGGGGGCGGGAAGATTTTGGTCTCTTAGCCTAAGACGCGCAAAGAACCGCCCGGCTTAGATCCTTTCCTATAGAACCCCGCCGTCCCCGTTGCGCCCCGTTGAACCCCCGAATGACTTGAAGGATTCAAGTCCCTTAGGAGATTCGACCAGTCTCGAAAATGACACAAACTGGAATCCACCCATTTCTCAACTGACACACCGTATATGGACATACCCGACCTACATCCGTGATGGTGTTGGGGGTATGTACCCTGGATAGTCCGTACATAATTTGCAACCGCTCATTTACTTCCAATTGCTCAAGTCAACTCGTATATATATATATATATATGTATATAACTGAAAGAAAAACTCCAGTAGTGATAGATTCCAACAAAAAACAAGGGGGGGGAACATATTCATTTCAGCAAATGGAAGACTGGGTCCTAGACTAGGTCCTCCAGAGGCTAGAATAAGGGTACCAACTTCTTTCTGTAGTCGATTTTAGGGAAACCCTTCAACCAAAGGGTGAGACAGGGAGCTGGACCTGCGTCCATGTCATTTGTTTCATCCTGCCTCGGCAATCCCAGTCTGTGGGAGCTGCGATTCCCAAGCCGTTGGCCTGGCGATCCGTGTCTTTCGAGGAAAAAACCTCCTTTGAAGTTGGCTTAAAGGGAACGAGAGACAGTGAGAGGAAGTGGCTCGCCGTCACTCACCCTTCCCTCTATCTCTTCTCTCTTCTCTCTTTCCCACTTCTTCCTTTCCTATCTCCCTTGCTGTTCTAGGGGAAAACTATGGGCGTGGTTACGTCAAACTATATGGGTGGGGGTTTCCATTCAACCCACTAAAAGTTGCGTTCTTGTTCTAGGAGGAACTTCCATTTCCATTCTTTCCCCCGAAAGAAAAGACTGCAAGCAAATGAGATTTCATCCGGGACCCGGATTCAAGATTCAACATTCAAGATTGGAGAAACGATTACAGGGAGAGTTGAATCTGCAGTTTTGAGTCCAGGCCCGAATGACAGTTTGTTCTGTTTCATCTACTGGGTTTGGCCCCAGTCCCGGTTGACAGATCCTTTGTCCTAGAAAGGGGACACTGACCAGTAAACCCTTAAAAGATATGGGTCAAAACTACTAAACCGCCAGGAATTGGACCGGAGGTGCATGTTTCCATTTACCAGGGCTTGCCCACTTTGCGGATTCCTATTCTTGACAACCACATAGTCTCCAGTTTTCTCGGGGTTGATTCCCCATTCCCCAGGGTGTGTGGTGGTTTTCTAGAAAGATTCGGATCCCTAGGGAGGAGAAGTTGTGTCTTACCCTTCTTAAAAACATGCGCTTGCATATAAGCCGGGGGAACGTCAACCTGGTGTTTTCATGCCGGTAGCATGTTGCGCCGTGTGCCCATTGCATTGCTTGAGTTTCGCCCTGCCGCTGGTTCGGTTTCATTTGGCAGGAAGGATCGGACCAAGAGCCTGAAGCTTCCAGATTGGAATTGCGCCTTTGCTTTCCCCAAAGCCCAAAAAGAGCACACTGCACATATCAGTGACTTCGAACCAACAAGTAGATATCTGTATACATTCATAGGCTTACTTTTGTCCATTCTCAGGCCCTCCCCCGCAATGGCATCCCCTCCCGCCAGAGCAGCATATGGTCCCTGGACCCCGTCGAGCCCTTGCCTTCAGCCCCAAGCCAGCCCTAAACCCACCCTCGGCCCTGAACCCACCGTCAACCCCAAGCCTAAACTAACCCTAGTCAACCCCAAGCCACACCCCAACTCCCCTAACCCACCCCCCCCCCTCCGCCCCCAAACACCACCACCCCCACACCGGGGGTGGGGGGGTGGGGTGGGGCGGGGTCTTGCAAAACCAAACCATCATCTTCCTGGAGGAGCCAAGCAATCAGCAGCGAACCAAGCGAGAACAAACAAAAACATGTGTAAGAGCGGTTTGGAACTCAAGTGATTTGGATTGAACGGCAGCTATATGAATAAATGTAATATATAAATATATATATATATATACATACATACAATGAACACGAGTCGTCGATGTTGGAAGGGCAATTGCAACTTGTTTAAACGTGTTTCCAGAGACCCTCACATAAACAAGCACCACTTGGACAGCAAACCCAACTCACATGTCTTCACGGGGCGGGGGCATACTGTTTGCACCTTCCCAGAAGAAAAGGAAGCAGGCAGCACCAGTTACCCGTGATTGATCAAACAAAACAACAATAATCATAGACTTGTCTGGAGGGGAGGCCCCCCCATTTCTGCCATTTGGGTTGTCAAAACTGATCTCTTTTCAGGTCACGGACTCATTTCCAGGACTGGTTTTCTCAATGCCCGCCGTGACAAGGTGGAAAAGAACCGCATGCATCTCTTCGCGCTGTCCTTGCGGAGAAACAACACCAAGATTTGGTACTTTTGAACAGAACTCAACAGACATGGGGTGATTCAAACAATCGACAAATCAGGTTCCATGTGGATTTGGCAGAGGGTAATCTCCCCAATCAACTTTCACCCTCCTAAGGCATTTGATTGCTTTTTCAGTTTTTGCTCGCGCCTCCTTCTGCGCCACCCTCCTCAAAGAGGTCCAGTCATAGAGGGACACCAGGTCCCCATTTTCTAGAAGCTGGTTCAAATTGAGCCCCGCAAAGGCGTGAGCCTCCTTGCACTCCGCAGCCTGCTTGCTTGGGTTGCGTAACGCCCCAAAAGCCACGGGGACAACGGCGTGCTTTATTGGGTACTTGATGTTAAAGGCAACCCCCTCCAAAAGATCCACATCCAGTTGGCTTCTCCTGTTTTTACCTCCTCTTCTTTTTCTTCTTCTTCTTCTTCTTCTTCTTCGTCTTCTTTTTTCTTCGTTTTTATTTTTGGGGGGGAGGGGGGGCGGTTTGTTTGGGTTTGGTCGAATCCATCTCACCTGAAAGTCGGGGGTGCAAGCGACCGAGAACTTCTGCTTCTTCCCGTGCTCGTTGGACAAGAGCCGCAGCAGGGAGCAGGCCACGCTGCTGCCAATTCCCTGCGGAGGAAGGCGGGTGCATTGCTCCGTCTTTCGAGTTGGTACCCCATGCTGGTGCGGTTCTACCATCTTAAAACAAACAAAAACCAGCTGCTTGTCCCAGATGTTTGATGGTTTTCCGAAAAGAAGGATTGGAAAGAATGTGGAAGGTACCCCATCTCAGATGCCCAGTGGATGTTCATGGGAACAAAAAGGGCACCGTGTTTTTTTGTTGGTTGAGTTTTTTCAGGGGCACCCTTCCCCAAAGAAAAAGAAAGAAGGGCACCACTGGGCAACAGAGCCATGCTCGTGCGTTTCTATACGGAAAACCCTTGAAGGAAACCCACAAAGGAGGCTTTGAAGACACTACTCAGAGGTTGTCCGGGGCGCGGGGTTCGCAGTTGGCCTGGCTTAAACCGCCGCTTGACAGCTACTCTGTCACAAAGGGATTCCCTTTGACAGAAAGCTGCAAGATTCGACTGGCCACTGCAACCACTTTTAGGGACCCAGTTTAACGTCTGTTGACCTCCCTTCTGCTTGATAAAGGAACTCCCACGAAGAGAGGTTGCAGTATCATGAAGCGTCACTAGAAACTCCGGAGCAAAGCAGCCTCCGTTCAAGGGTGCTACCTACCAGCGTAGCTTTGCTTCCCACAAGGTCTGAGGGAAGCTCTCTGAAACGGCAAGGGACGAGGACGGACACTCCAATCAAGCAATCAAAGTTTGGACCCAATTCGCTCAGAAAGCAGCAGGTTGGCTTATTTGTAAAAATGCAACACCGAACAACGGAACATACAACAAAACCAACTCTCCAAACAACAAGGACAAACACGACACTATGCACAATAACGTGTGAAAGAAGAACAGACCATGAATTTCAGACATTCCAATTACCGCATTGGGGCAGAAAAAGGTTGCAAACATTATCAAGGACTAACCTGTGTTGCGCCCAGCCACTGATGTGCAGCCTCTTGGGTCAGGAAAGGATCTGGCACGAAAAGCCGCACCGAGCTTCTTAGGTGGTTCTAGAACACTTGTCTGGTCGTGGGAAATTCGCAAAGTAACGCGACATCCCGCATGGAACTCTGTCCACATCTGGGGAGGCAACTGTTGGACCTGGAACCATGAAATTCAACGACCATTTGTCCCAACCACCGTTTTCGGTTTCGCTTGACTCCTCCCATGTTTGCAAGCAAACTATGTATATTATATATATATATATGGTACAGCGTTGCCAGCCCCCCCCCCCACCCCCCCCCCTAATGGTCATGCGTCAGACAAGTACCCCCCCCCCCTGTGGTTGTGGTCCTGTGGTTGGGTTGTGGTGGTTTAGGGTTGGTTTAGGGTTGGATTGGAATTGGTTTAGGGTGTATTTAGGGTGTATTTAGGGTTAGTTTAGGGTTGGTTTAGGGTTGGTTTATGTTGATTTAGGGTTGGTTTAGGGCGGTTTAGGTTTAGAGGTTTACGGTTTGGGGTTTGGTTTAGGGTTTGGTTTAGGGTGTATTTAGGGTTGGTTTAGGGTTGGTTTAGGTTTAGGGTTTATTGTTTAGGGATTGGTTTAGGGTGTATTTAGGGTGTATTTAGGGTTAGTTTAGGGTTGGTTTAGGTTTGGTTTATGTTGATTTAGGGTTGGTTTAGGGTTGGTTTAGATTTAGAGGTTTACGGTTTAAGGTTTGGTTTAGGGTGTATTTAGGGTTGGTTTAGGGTTAGTTTAGGGTTGGTTCATGGTTGGTTGCGGGTTGGCTTGTCCTGGGGGTCGGGGTGCCGGGGTGTCGGGGTGCTAGTTTACACGGAACACGGGACCATATATAACAACAACAAAAAACATGCTGGACAATCGATTCGGATGCCGGTGACTGTCCTCCCCCATGTTGTGGGTGAGAAGGAAGCCCTCGGTATAGTCTGCGCGCTCCAGCTGCATGCGCAGCATGTCAGCGAGCTCTGGGAAGTCCTGCAAACTGCCACTTGAACCGATCCTCACCCACCTCCCCGAAAATAAAACAACAACCTGTTTATATGGGGCTGTTCCCCGAGCCAAAAGTTATGAACCTCCCCTGAAACCAGGGAAACACCTCCATACTGTGGATGGTTGCGAGATCCATTTCGCATCGTCCAGAATCCCTGACAACGATTCGATTCCCTTGCAAATACCAACAATGGCTTCTCATGGCTCGCCTTCCACTTCCATGGCTTTTGGACATGGCATTCGGAATGCCGAATTCTGATGCTACCTCTTCAGGGGCTTCAAGAGAGGTAAGCCTGGAAAATAGAAGTTACCTGAACCCTTTTACTCTTAGTATGGTAGCACAAAAACTGTGTTTTGTGCAGACCCCCAGTAAAAATGAACAGAACCAAAAAACTAAAAAAGACAAAACACATGCCAAGAACAGTGAAGTGAACCTTTGCTAGCGCCAACTTCTACTGTGAAATCAATCGAACCTCGACACCCCCTACATGACAGACCGACAGACATCGCAAGTCATTGCATTGCATGTCATTACATTGTATTACATTACATGAAACTTTAAATCACATGGTAGATTAAATTGCATGTAATCACATTACATGACATAACATGACACAACATTACATGTCATTACATTTCATTACATTGCCTTACATTGCATTACATTACATTACATTACATATGCAACAACCAAACACCATGTTGTATGACTGTGAATACATGTCCGTATGTATCTTATACAAATATGTAACATTATTATACGTGCTTTATATCATATACTTATAATGCTTGCATGAATGCAACGTGATCAACTCATGCTTGTCGGTGGAGTATTTGGGCGATGAAGCTAGAATGCGCGTGTTTGGGAAGCTGATTTAGTGGCACTGCCACGTGTAGAAAAGCACGGGGCTGATCTCACGTAATCCATGGCCATGCCACGACACCTCATTGGGCCCTCCTGACGGAGCAAAACACGGCAACATGCGAGATTCCGAAAACAAAAAAACACAGAGCTTCTCTTCGTTATGACCCGAGATATGGTTGGCCCTGCAATAGGAAACTACGAAAAACAAGCAAAAAGCGGTTTGATAGGAGTACAACGCAACCAACAGAACCTCTCACTGTCCATCAGCTGCCCAAACTATGAACTTGCGCCATTTGCTCTTGAACGTCAGGGGATCTCTTACAAGGAAATTGTCGAAACCAGGACCCTCCTGTCAGGTACCATGTTAATCGGGTGGGAGGGTAGGAGTTGTCAATCAAAGCTTGCCAAGAACAAACAGGCTCAGGGTTGACGGATACGATTTCCACGCGTCTACAGACTGTCATTGGTTTCCGTCGCGCAACCTGTTCAACTCTAGATTGATAAACGTTTGGTTTTTTTCCCAGCGGTTTCTTGAGGTGAAAGCCGCCGCAAACTCAAAGGTTCAAAAGGCCATGCGTGAAAAGCCGGTATTTTCAGTGAACATCCCAATCCAACCACTAAAATCGAACTCTAAAATGGGTGGTGCACCGAAACCCCCAAAATGGGATCCCAAAACGGTCTTGACAACCACAGCCAAGTGAGCTCGGTGTCAAGGTCTGAAATCTCAACCAATTGCATCCTCCTAACCTCAGCCTCGGATGCCAAACCAAAGCTTCCGATTCGACCCCGGGAAAAACAACAAATGTCCAGTAGTGATAAATTCCGTTTAAAAACCAACAAGGGAACATAGAACTAGATCTTCATTTCAGCAAATGGAAGGGAGTTGTCTCAGTAGATAGCTTCACCTGCTGTTGTCCACCCAAAGGTCATGGGACACACACACACACACACCCTCTTTGCTGTTTGACCCCTTGAAAAACAAAAAAACTGGCTTCAATTGCCGAACTCGTACGATTTCTAGCCCAGGACACCTGCCCATTCCGCTTAGGTCTTTCCCCTCCACCTCAGATGGTCACTCCTGGCCACACGCGAGCTCCCAGTCGGACTTCCTGAGAGAGGCAGGGCCTTCAAACATGCCTGGCCACCTGTGGGGTCTTCTGACCCTCTGGGATCCCTTTGGGTGCCATGGCAACCTGGGGTTCGGGGTACTTGGGAGTTCGGCCAAGCCGGTAGGTTATCACCTCCGTTTGGGGGGCCCAGCTTGGAAGTTGTCTCAGGCTCCGATAGACCCAGCAAGTCAATGGAATCAGACTAGGGCCATGGCGACAACAAGTCTAAACCATGCCTGAGACCTCCAGTAGTTCTTCAAGGAGAGATTTCACTCAGACAAAGGACACCAGGGCGCGCTTGTGGAAGTTTGCGACGAGGATCAGGGCTGTGGGAAGTGGGATCGGATCACGAATCTGTGATACAAAAAGGGCATCCCGGAAAGACTACCCCCCATTCAGAGGGGGTTCCCAAAAGTATCACAGAAGTGGTTGGATAAACCCCGAGTGATCAACCACAACCCTGATCACCAACCCCTCTCCTATTCTTGATATATTTCTTGGACAAAAAACAAGGCTCATCAATCCACAAAAAGCCACCCTTCAAAAGTTCCCCGCATCTTAGAACGGGATTCCTCTACCAAGCTCCGTAGGCCAAAGACAGTGGCACCCAAAAGCGGTTGCTTGCCTTTTGCAGGGTACAGCCAAGAAAGCTGCAAACAGTGCTCCAGATCTCTTTGCAACTTGGGGGGGTCAAAAGATCCATAACCACAGTGAAATCACCAAGAAAAGGTCGCCTTGAGTAAGGCAAAAGGTAAGGGTCTTGCGGATTACCTGGAACAGTGCAATGGAGCGTGATCTAATACAGTGAGAATTGATATGATGTCTACCTGAGGGGAAATATGACAATTGCAAGCGAACTCATCAACCAAAAGTATGGGATCCTTAGGATCCAACCTTCATCATGAGGTCCGAAATCGGTCGCAACCCGAAACCGTTTTCAATCTTTTCTGTGGTCGACAGAAAACTTGCCCCAAAGTAGCTTAAGAACATTTTGCACTCGGAACCGTCTCTGGTTCAGACCCCTCTGTACCGCTTCTCCTTCGAATAACCAAATCCTGGCTCGCTGAAACCAGCCACAACTTTGATTGCCAACTTACGAAATGATCCCATAATACATGCTAACAACCAAAGGCCAGCTATGTGTTCATTTGAAAATAGGGAAGCACAAGCACAAACACTTAGTAATCATCAACCAAATGAGGACTAGAATGAGTAACCACCCGAATGATGTCCAGAATGCCCCAAAGGCTGGCATGCTCTGCTTGTTTCAACAAAGTTGGCTATTTCTAATTTGGATCCACCTGAGCGGTGTTCTAAACGCGCGGCCGAAGAAAGCTTTCGCATAGCCGTCGCAGCAGGGGCTCCTTTCGCGAGCGGTTTTCTTGGGGCAATCGCTTTCGCATCGCTCTAGCGCGGATTGAGAAATGGCTGTGGCTGTCAAAATACGGCCCCTAAAATGGGTTGCCCACGAAGAAATCGACACATAGACTAAAACCTGCGATTCCAATTCCTGGTGGATTCATACCCAGACCCAAACTCAGATGCCCAGATTGGGAAAAAATGGGCACCCTTTTTTGGTTGGTTGAGTTTTTTCAGGGGAACCTCCCCCCCCCCCCCAAAAAAAAAAGGCAAAGAGGCAGTGAACATCCCAATCTCCACCAAAATAGGAAGCCTAAAATGGGTGGTGCACCTACCAAAATGGGATCCCAGCCAAATGGGCTTGAAGTTCGCCTTCGCCTTGGTTCGGCCACCTTTGGCCCTTTCCCGACCCGATGTAAAGATTTGAACCCCGAGCCGCGAAGCCGCGAAGCCGCGAAGCCGCGAAGCCGCGAAGCCGCGAAGCCGCGAAGCCGCGAAGCCGCGAAGCCGATCTGCGCGGCCAGGGCGGCAGGAAAAGAATGGGGGCCGGGAGCGGGGGGGGGGGAGCTTGAGGTCCAGAAATTCCGTTTGCTTAAGCCCCAGCAAAAACAAACATATTTCCAGTAGTGAAATAGGTTCCCTTTAAAACCGACAAGGGCAACTAAAAAATATTATTTTCAGCAAATGGGGCTAGTTTGAGGGTTTTTCCGTTTTCCCTGACTTGGTTGCTTTCTGCTCCCCTGCAAAAAGTTTAACTTTTAGTGGCTTAATGGAAAACCCATTCGAAGGCAAAAAGTTTTCCAGTTCTAACATCCCTTGACAAAATGCACCGGGCAAATAACAAATCTTCTTTTCAGCAAATGGGGCTAGTTCTGGGCTAGCTTGCGTTTTTTTTTTTTTTTTTTTTTTTCCGTTTTCCCTGAAACACACAAAAAAAAACAAAAAAACGCCCCCACGTCTTCGGCCGGCCGTTTTCTCTGTTTCTCCAAGTCTCGGCTCGTCCCCCACCAGCAGACTCCCCGGCTCGAAGATTTTGGCGCTGCTCACCGCGTCCAAGGTCTCCGGAGCGCCTGCCAAAAAAAAACCGGCACGGGACAAGTTGGGTCGGTCGAAAGGAAATAGACCTCTCTCTCGCCAAAGGTAAAGAGATGGGAGACAGAAAGGCATAGACAGGTTAATGGAAAGGCTTAGTGACCGAAGGGCTCCTACATCCGTCCTTTCGTGCCGGCTGCCCTCAGACCTTTCTGTTCCTCATCCATCCTTTCCAAGCCCCTACCTTTGGCTGGCTTGGTATCTTGGATGAAAGGGAAGTGGTTAGTCTCTGGACTGTTCATTCCTGCCACTTAAGTCCTTCCTTTAGACACGTCAAGAGCCAGGTGAGCGAAGGCGGGAGATAGGACATGACCAAGAGAAAGGAAAAGATATTGTATGAGTGATGAATCCCGCTCTCTTCTTTCGCACCATCTCTATTCCTTCTTTCATGTTCTCTCACCCTTTATCTCATCCACACGGTGAAGATAGAAGTGCAGAAGAGGTGAAAGGTGGACAGATGGAACGATGTGACGAGTGAAGGGAGAAAGAGAAGGGAAGGGATATGTATTTGGGTGAAAGAAATAGTTGACAAGGACCCACACACCCTTCCCATTCACTTCCTAACCCATTCATTCTATCACCTCGCATCTTAACAGCCAGTGAATGGGTTTGTGGGAAGGCAGGAGTAAGAGAAATGGGTTTGTACCTGCCTTTCTCTCTTTCCTTGTCTATGCCTGGTTCCACGAGCCAATTACAGTCAATCAAAGGTCATGAGCTCGTGGACAAGGAACGAGAGACAGTGACGAGAGGAAGTGGCTCGCCGTCACTCACCCTTCCCTCTATCTCTTCTCTCTACTCTCTTTCCCACTTCTTCCTTTCCTATCTCCCTTGCTGTTCTAGGAGAAAACTATGGGTGTGGTTCCGTCAAACCTATATGGGTGGGTGTTTCCATTCAACCCACCAAAAGTTGCGTTTTTGTTCTAGGAGGAACTTCCATTTCCATTCTTCCACGGATCCTTTCTTCTAGAAAACCACCAAGGGTGCCATGTGTCCATTTTCCAGGGCAAGCCCTTTTGGGGACCGATTTTGACCCACGGGACAAGTTGGGCCGGTCCCTTGGTCCTCGGTGTGGTGGAGAAAAGTATCGGTCCCCACAATGGATCTGTATTTTTTGTGGTATCCTTTTTCATTTTGTGGCTTTAAAGGGAAGCAAGAAACAACAAAAACATGTTCGGCGGTCCTTTACGGGTGTGGTGGTCAAAAACAGGTAAATATCCATGCACGAGTGGTGTTTCCTTGCACATGGGTGCTTTAACCAATCCGAAGTCTGAGCTGCAGTCGGGGTCTTGGGGTGTTCTCGAACTTGGCTTGGACCATGGAGTCAATGCGTCAATGAGTATGAGGCGACCCCAAGTTGGGTCAAAAAATGTGTGGCTCAAAAATTCATCGGAGGGGCAAGCCGCCAGGTTTTGGGTAACCCATGCTTCCACTCACCGCTCGGGCGACCCATTTTGGACTTCCGGAGTTTGTTGGCCCCAGCCCTGCAGGGGTCGAAAAGTTTGGAGACCGATCCCGGCTTGGCGGCCTCCGAGGTGGCTTCCCTTAAGAGAAAGGCTCAGCTCCCTCCCTTGACTCCTCCAGCTTCGGATTCAGGGGCTCCAGAACTGCTCCAGAAAAAAAAAAAAAAAAAACACAGACCCACATGCCATGTGGGCACACGGGCCGAAGGTGAGGCTGCGCAGGGGTCGCTGACCCACTTGGTGTTCGTTGCCACCGCACGGGTGCATGGACGTAGAAAAAAACCAAGGTGCACAAGATTCACCGTAAACATACTGACTCAAGCAAACACATACCGGTTCCCGAGTGTGTATGGATGAAATCCGGCACCACTTTGAAACCACCAGAAACCATTGTTGGTTGGTGTTAGGGGAATCATCAGAAACCAGGGTTTGGTGCCGAAGAGTATTTCGTCCATCCACAGCATGAGAGAAACCTTCATAAAGTCGACCTGAACCAAACACCATCGTAGATGTCCAGTTTAAAGGCGGAAAGCTTCCCGGAAGGAAGGCGATGCCAAAAACGCCTCCCAGAGTTGTGGCATGGCTAGCCGCCACCGAAACAAACGGCGCCGGGAGAGAGGGCCCCGGGGCGCTTTCTTGGGCCGGGGATCCCGAGGTCTCCATTTGAAACATCACCCCAGAAGGCAACTCACTGTAAGTTGGTAACAGAACCAAAAAACTAACAAACCTAAAAAAAAAAAAAAAAACATGCCAAGAACAGTGAAGCAAAGGTGATGCTGAAAGCCAGCTTGTTGGAATTCACGGAACTTGAGTGCAACTACAACTGCCCGCCTCTGGTGGCAAAGAGAGCTCTTGGCACGTAGCGCCCCTTTTTGGTCTCATTGAACAGCACATTGCTGCAGCCATAGAAATCCTGACAGGATGCCATGTGCAGGGTGGCCATAGGGGAAACGAGTGGCCCCTTTATGTGTGTTGACTTTGAAAAGGGACACCCTGCCCCCGCCCAAAAAGCATGACAGCGCCGGGCAACTGAGACTTGGGGAGCCAAACAAGGCATGTCTCACTGCCTCAGTGGATTGGCAAAAAGAAATGTTCCCAAACTCTTTGACATCAAGGTCCAAATCCACGTGGTGGATTGGTGGTTTAGATTTGGCACCCTTTCTGATAGGGGGTTAAACAGGAAACCACCCCTGCAAACCTCCTCTGCCTGACCAAACCACGCTTTATCATCAAAAAACACTGCCCTGTGGCAGCCCGCACTGTTTTCCCAGGGAAAAAGCACGGTTTCTTTGGAATTACCCTTGTCGAGGAAGGCTGATCTTTACCATCAAAACCACTTCCCTCTAGCCGCCCTATGTTTTTCCAAGGGACAAAAACGAAAACGGTTTCTTTGGAACGGGAACGAAGCCTCCCGGTTCACTGAGAGCGGTCCTTCTCAGGCCTGCCATCCTTCAAGCCGTGCTCCGCCATCATGTGCTGCCAGCAATCCATGCCCGTGAAGGAGCCGTCGTCCCCCAGGTGCAACCTACCCGAAAAGGGAGGCCAAAAAACGCAACGTGTAGGCTGTTGTAGGCTTGCATGGTGTAACACAAAACAAGTGTACTTGCTGTTGCGTTGCAAAACTATGAGGATTTGCTGTTGCGGGGTTCCTTAACAGATGCATCCTAATGGGATCGTCTAACTCAGGAAAATGTAATGTGTAACTGTTCAGGGAAACTCATTCGCTCGTTGGATTGGTGGTTTAGGCATCGGGGGGATGGGTGTTTCATTTTCTGCAAGAACCACTCCAAACCAAACCACCAAAGGAGAAAACCAATTGGGCGGGTTTTCAAGAACCATCCAAACCAAAGGAGAAAGCCAGCCACGGCGTTCAAACATAGGTGTCCTTTTCGGGGAAATAGATGGCCCTGGTAGATGATTAAACCACCAGGTAAGCCAGGGCCATCTATTTTTCCACCAAAACCAAAAAGGACACCTATGCTTTCAAAGCGAAAAAAGCAAAAGCCGCCAGCGAGTCGGGCCACGAGATGATGGCCGGCGCCGGGTTGTTCTTCCTCGGGTCGACGAAACAACTTGGCGAGCGGCGTGGCTCAAAATGGCGCGAAAAGTTTAGCTTTCTTTTAGTGGGTGAAATTCGGACATCCAACCACTAAACACTCAAAAGCTGAAAAGCAAATGGCCGGGAACCACTATAAAATATGATATATGTTCTTCAGGGGGACCCCCAAAGTGGCTGATTTCGTTTCTGGTTGCCCTTTCAAAACATCCCAAAAGGGTAATTTCCCTCAAAAAAGACAGACCCGCATGAAACATCGCCCAAGCAAACTCTCCAGTTCCCGGACCAGGCCACATTGCGCCTAAAACCCATTGACAGTTGCCATAACGAGTGTCAACAGGATTTTTTCTTCGGAGGTTGCTCACTGCATGTGTCAAAATCGGTGATTCCCAGTTCATGTCCCTTCAAACCACCCCAGTGCCCTCACAGACACCCAGGGCCATGGATCCTTCGAGTCGAGGAGTCGAGTTGCCCGGGGTCGAGTCTTGGTTTCCCTTGTCACAAGAGTGAAATATATATGGCACAATGCCCGCATGTTGATTTTAGTCATCCCCATGCCCGCATCAAGGAATCGAGCATTGAACTTCACAGTCCAAATATGCAGCCCAAACCAGAAGCCCCCAACAACTTTTTTCCCGTGTCCAAGTGGATATTTGATTTCGTCATCCCCCTTGCAAAGATCAAGGAACTGCGGCATTCAACTTCACAGTGTATATATATATATATACACTAATTCGCCGGAAAACGAGAAGCCCCCAACACCCGCGTGGCTCTGTCCACAATCCCCCGTGCTTGAGACCCGGACGCTGACACCCCGATGTGGGATTCGTGACTCAATCGACTCCGAGGTGCCAGGAGCCGCCTGCCATCAGCTTGGCGCCCCAGTGGGTTCTCTCGGGCTTCATGCGCTTCAAAGCGCCTTTGCCCTTCACGGAAGCCGTCGCCTGGAACAAAACCCCTGCGCCGTCGCCCTTCGTCATCACCTGGGATGATCTTAAAATAGCATTTGTTGGACCCCACAAGTCTTCCTTCCTTGTGGCTTTCCTTTGGATGGAGGTGAAAAAGCGTACCCCATTGTCCCTAGATTTTGTCCGCTGCTCATGCGCTTTGGGATGCAGACAATCAAAGAACAAAAAAGAGAACACCGCAGCAAACACAGCAACCAAAAAACACAACATACAAGAACACAACAAGGAAACAACAACAAAAAACAGATGAAGCAACACGACAGACAACCCAACACGAAACCAACAAGAACGAAACAAAGGCACAACACAACATAGAGAGAGAGAGAGATAACAAAAAAAGAAGAAACAAAAAGCCGGAGGTGCCGTAATCAAACACGGTCGGGGTGCCGAGTTGTCCATGGTGGCCATGGACCGGAGCTGAGCTTCAGCCTCCTTCATCAGATTGTACCTCTCCAGTAGCGCACGGGAGCTGCCAGCTATGTCTAGCACAATGCAAAAATGGGTTTGATCTCGTGTTGACTCGTTTGGACTGAACATATTGCAGTCAATTTGGGGGGGACCATCGTTTAGACTGGACATGTTCAAAATATTGTAGCCAATTTGGGGGGACCATCTCGTCTTTCTCGTTGTGCAGAGTATCAACCCAAAGGCACTGGTATGTCACTATACCTGCAACACAGACTTGCAAGAGCGCTGCAGTTGTTGCTGCGTTGTTGGCATGTCCATCATGCAGTCTACTCTGTCACAGCTATCTGGGGTCACTGCTGTTAAGTAGGGCCGATGGCGGGAGCCTGCGAAAAGCTTAGGGTCTGCTCTGTCATGCTCTGTCACAGTCAGGCTGGTCAGTCAAGGCCGTCGCTCAACCACGATTAATCTAGTTTCATCTCGTTTGCATGGCTTCTGTAAAACGATCTCGTCTTGATCTCGATAGTATCAACCACCTAAAGAACCTGAAAGTGAGAGGCACGAAGAGCAAATTCAAATGGGAACCCTTTGGTGCACTTCAATTCTGGAGAGACTTATGTCCGCCATCGCGATGATATTCCTCACTCAAATTCATCGCGTTCACCTGCTTCTTCCTTCAGACACGCTTCCCCTTTCAGGTTCCCCTAGGTTTCTGCGTGGTCTGGTCACCCGGAGAAGCGAAGGAAGCGAATCAGAACGCATCAGCTTCGGTGCGACCCGAACTTGGTTGCTGCAACGACCCCCCTGGAAAAAGTAAATACCTTTTTGGGGGTTTAGTGGAAAACACCGAAATATTTCAACCAACAAGTTAAAGTCTAAAGATCCGTTGCCCAATAGCAGTCAAGTTCCGAAGTCTCAAGCCCCAGGCGCCAGCTTTTGAAGTCCTCCGAGCGCTTGCTGCGGATGGCACAGTTCTTCTCTACGCTCTCCTCCACCGCTGGCAACTGATCCCCCTCGTTGCCGTTGCCGTTGCCGAGGTCCTGCTGTGGAAGAAAATCCGTTTCGCGCCGTGTTGCTAGGCGGATTGCTTCTCCCGGTATTCTAGGGGTGAATTCTGTTTCCATTCTTTTCAACCATCGGTCGTTTCAAAAACCAGCTGTTTTCCCTGAATTTCCAAAGGTGTTCAAGAAAGAATGATCCTGGAAAGAATGGGGAAAGTACCCCTAGAAGTATTCATAGGGTTTCACACATGCCAAAAGAGCAGCGATTCTTGTCCGTGCACAGTCTCATTCGCGAAGCCGAAGAATCAGCTTACGTTCTGAGCCGGCGCGTTTACTTCGTGTTTAGAGGCTTCATTCCGTCCCTCTTTGAGGTTCATCCAGTTTTTTGGAAGCGAAGGGATGAACAGCGCTGAAGCCAACGACATGTGCCTGGACTAAATAGGATGCTGGTTGCTCGGAATGCCCCATCGGCACAAGGGAAACATTGGGAAGCAAAAGGAAGCCGTTGACCAATTCTCTGGCCAAACGCGTCACCATCTTTTCAGAGAGAGCAACGCTAAGAAAGGGTGTCTTGAAACTCACAGACTCCCTGCACGCACAAGTTTTCTCCACCAACCGCTGGCTGTTCGTCTATCCAACAGCCCCAAGCTCTTTCTGCTGGGGCCGGAGCCCGGGAGTTGCACGGGTACCCTCTAAAAAAGTCGCACACACACACAGAGCCATTGATTTGCTTGTCATTGTCACTGGAAGTTCAGCTCGATTTGGGCGTCTTGTTTTTGAAATCGGACCCCCCAAAAAGGCGTGGGTTTTAGGGTTTCCTCTACAACCACAAAGAACGGGCTACCTCCAAACAAAGACACCCAATTTCACCCCCCCCAAAAAAAAATAAAATGGTGGTTTTCCTCTAAACCCACCAACAGAAACGGCCTACCCCCCCCCCCAAAAAAAAAAGCAGACGCTCAGTTCCACCCGAGCCGCGCGTTCGGAAGTCCAGAAGCCCCGTCCTTGCTGGGGGCGCCCGCAGGGCCGGGCTGGGCGGCCAAAGACTCGGACCAGCGCTTGGGGGTCCAGGCCCACATGGAGTCCGCCATCTTCACCTCACTCCGTGCGCCCGCGCGTGGTACTCGCGTGGCTCTCTCTTCTTTTGCCGCCTGAGCCCCTCTGGATAAAAATGCCCAACAGAAAACACGTGTACTTTCTTTCTAGGAGCTGCCAGATCCCGGTTGACGTTGGAAGGGGAGCAAACATTCTAAAAACAAATAGGAGTCAAGTGGATTTGGATTTCAACCCCTGAACCACAAGAAGCGAAAAAACAAGTAAAATGTTTCCCAACCACAACCATGCTTTTGTGATCCTCGGGAAGCCTCCCTTGAAAGCGCTCGTGATTTGGAAGGCCTTCCCCACGGTGGTTGCAACTGCCCTAACCCTTCAGCTACCCAATTGGTGGCTTATTTGGGGGTGAAGGAACCCCACTTCCTGTGGAAGCCAAAATGGGGAAGGTGCCCCCCCCCAAAGTCCACACTAGGGTCTCTTCTCCGCCGCCCGATTCCCTTTAGACAAAACCGCCCAATCGAAAACACATGTACGTTTTTCTAGAAGGAGTTGCCACTAAACCCAGGGACGCATCCAATTAATAAACTGGGGTTGAGGCTAAATTAGGAAGCCAACCAAACGGGGTGGTTCTTTCAACGCCCAAACCCTGGCCCATCTGGCAATTCTGCAGCAAAAACCATCGGGAATTAGTGGCCGATTCGTTTGAAGAATTCCCTGATGGTTTCTTCGACATTTGGCCTTTGTTTGAAGGTTCAATATGGGGGGGGGTGGTTCTCTAAGGGTAGCATTCTTGGTGGTTTGAAGAAAAACCAAAAGGAATCCGTTTCACGCGAGGTTCAATCGCATCTTTTAACAAGGGCTACAAAGAAACAATGAAAACGGGATAGTATGGCACCCTCAGAAATGACGCATCGATTTGTCAATGCTTTTTTCCCGCAATTATCATGCTGCCATTCAGACCTCGTGCGTCGCAGTTGTCAAATGGGGCTGTGCCAAAGTCAGGTGGGGCCCTTGGAATTCATGCTGGCAGCCTCCAGGTAACCCGCTCTTCGTCTGTTTGTTTTCAATAGGAAAGGTCCTGAAATACAGTGGATGCACGAAATCCAGCAAGAAACCCGGAAAGGTCCTGAAATACAGTGGATGGACGAAATCCAACCATGGTTTCTGATGACTCCCCTCTAAATACCAACGAACGTTGTGGTTTCATCAGTTTGAAGTGGTGCCGAAGAGGATTTCGCCACCATCCACAGAACCAAACGTAGGACCCGTGCCCATCTCTCAACCCGGCCATAGCTTCCATTTGGCTAGGCTAAGACCCCTAGAAAAAAAATACATATTTCCAGCTACCAAAATGGAACCCTGGAAAGTGGAAACATGGACCAAAACCTGTGGTTTGCCCCTCCTGTTTAATTTTGAGCCACACCCGCGGCGTCGCAAAGGGCCCTGTTGCCTGTTGATCTCCCTTTAAACCCGACTGAGTGTTCGATAGGACTAGAAAGCTTGCCCATCCTGGTGGTGTCCTTTCGTGTAAATGAAAAGTTATAGGCTGTTTTGGCACCCAGCCAACCAAAACCACTCCCTGACCTTCGCTCACGTCTGCATCATTTTCAGATTCTGATTCCCACAAAAATACAGTAGTTCTGGAGGGACCCAAACAAAACCAACAAAAACAAACATGTGAACCCCTCACAAGCCTTGAGCGAAACAATAACAAGCAAAGTTGTTTAGGGTTTTTTCCGCGCCACGGTGGTCAGCTCGTCCGGGGGGATCCGCGCGCCGTCCGCGGCTTTGACGCTCTTGGCCAACTTCTCGATGTCCGCCACGGAGGTGAGCCCAGCGTCTCTCAGCTCCTCCAGCGCCTTAGAAGTGGACCCCAGATGGACTGAACCAAGCGGTCTATTCATATTGTGGGGGGGGTGGGTCAAACATAACCCAAGACCTCAGAAGTGGAACCAAGCGGTTGATTCACTAGGTCCTCCAGATTTGAGAGGTTTAGAATAATACCAACCTTTTTTCAGGACCTCTATTTCAGTAGGGGAACTCTGCCAACCAAAAAAGTCCGCCGACATTGCTCGGCGTGTCGGACACCTAAGAGAGGATAGAGGGTAACCCCCCCCCTAACCCCCCCCCGCCCGACGTCTGATACGTGGGGGGGCCCCCCCCCCCCCCAAGGACCGCGCGGCAATTTGATGACGTTCCACTAAACGTAGTCTTCGGGGAGCCGGTGTCGCAAAACAGGGGTCCCAGGCTCGATTCCCCCTGCCGGCTCTTTGCTGGTTTGGGGTTCCTGCCTCCTTTTGCAGAAAATCTGGAAAAACTCTGTGTTTTTGGACGTCCTAATTGTGAAAACGCTGGAAAACCCGTGTTTTTTGCTGGAAATATTGGGGAGCAGAGGGGAAATGCAAGGAAGTGCAAGTGAAATGAGGGGAGGAAATAGGAAGTCGACATGACAGGAAAGCAGCGGGACATGAAAGGGAAACAAAGGGGAACTGAAAGGGACATGCAAGGGACAGAAATGAAAACAAGGGGAGTGCAGGGGAGCGAGCTGCAGCTGTAAAATTTGCTTGCTCTTGTACCGTTTCGTTTCCTACGCAGTAGTGCACATAGTGCCACACGGTCGAGCGCTCAGTTTACAGGGGGTGCGTGCGAGTTCTCAACATGGGGCGCTTGCCTGCCCTCACCCCCTGTGGCCTTCTTGGGGGGAAGGAGAGGAAACAAAGCACAAGGAAACCAAGCACGACGGGAGATGTAGGGAAATGACTCGCAACGAAAGAACGGGACATACATGGCAAATGAAGCGGACATACCGAGAAAATGTCAGGGACATGAAGGGGGGGCTGAATGGCATGGAAGGGACAGGACCAGGACATCATGGGAAACGTGACAAGGACATGAAGGGGGAAAGCCAGTAGTGAGATGACAGTTCAGGGTCATGCAGGGGCAGTGCCCGGACATCGAGGCAACTCGGGGGGGGACGTGACGCTGCAATGCAGAGAGAGAGAGAGAGAGAGACAGAGAGAGAGAGAGAGAGAGAGAGAGAGAGAGAGAGAGAGAGAGAGAGGGAGAGAGCGGGAGAGAGACAGAGAGAGAGACAGAAAGAGAGAGAGAGAGACAGAGCCACAGACAGAGCCAGAATCAGAGAAACAGAGAAAGAGACAGACAGAGAGAGAGACAGCGAGAGAGAGAAAGACGGAGACTGAGAAAGAGAGACACAGAAAGACAGAGAGAGAGAGAAAGAGAAAGAGAAAGAGAAAGAGAAAGAGAAAGAGCGAGAAAGTGAGAGAGTAGAGAGGTTCGAATTAGGGTGCCCTTTTTCTGTAGAGGGGCGTGGACAGGAAGGAGACAGGGAGACAGAAAGAGACAGAGAAACAGAGACAGCGAGAGAGAGAGAGAGAGAGTGGGAGATTGAGGAGAGAGAGGCTTGGGGGGATGGGGAGAATGGGGAGCAGAGGGAGGGAGAGAGGACGACAGAACGCACGAGGGAGACAAGGGAGAGGGAAGAAGGAGAAAAGGGAGAGGACAATGTCGGCGGACTGAGCCGGAGGCTCTAAAGTTGGGTGAGAGGTCGGGCACCAATTACTGCGGGACCTAAGGCTCACGACTACAATGCAGGCCCGCGGGCCCTCCAATGAAGAACCCGGACTAATTCCTCAGGGGCCCTTGAAAACAACCCATTTGGAGGGCCCATAAACAACCGGGAGCCTTAGGGCAACCGATTTATTCGTATTGTGGGGGTGGGTCAAAAATAGGGCAACCCCACAATGGGTTGCCCTGGCAAATGGACACTTAGACTAAAACCTGCGGTCCCCTCGGATCTTAATTTTGACCCATACTGTAGATTGTTGAACAAATCCGTTCGCACCACTTGGAAACCAGGGTTGAAACCATTGTTTCTTGGTATTTACAGGGGAATCATCATTCCAGGGTTTCTTAGGTGACCACCGGATTTGTCCATCCACGCTGTGCAGGTGTTTCCCTGGTTTAGTGGGAGGTCATCACTTTGGGCTCGGGGAACACCCCCATAGAAACAGGGAGTTCTTCATCCTGGGCCTTGGATCTTCGATTCCCTCACACCGAGTCGACCGTTGGGGTTTCAGGGTTGCACCCTCCCTAACGAAGACGCCTGAAAAAGGGTACCTGCAAGAGCAGTTTCTTGGAGCGACCCTTCAGGTGCCATGGCAACGCGGGAGAGAACCACTTGGATCTTCGATTCGCCAAGCGTGGTTTGCCAACCCGGCAAGGGTTAGCTCCAGGAACACCAGCAAAATGACTGTGCAAGTGAAACAGTGAGTCAGCATGAGTCAGCGCTTCGCTTGCGTAAAAGAGTTTGCTTTCCAGGTACGGCTGTGTTCTTGTCTTCCAAGAGAATGACTTTTTGGACTAATGTTGACCCCGGATTAATAAACCCCTGTTTATTAATATGGGGGTGTCCCCGGTTTTAGTGGAGATTTATCACTTTTGGAGGGGAACACCCCCATATTAATAAACAGGGGTTTATTAATCCGGGGTCAACATTATATCTTTCCTCGTGCCGTAATCATTCTGTTGCATCGAACAAATACTCTGCCAGGAACAGGGACTTCGAGGATGCAGGATTGGGACAAAGTGGTTCTTCAAACGGGCACGGTCCTTTGAGATGGTCACGCCAAATGCAAGTGCCATTGCCAACAAAACTGAGGTTTGGATTTCACCGGGTTCCATGCAACAAAGGTACTAGCATTGTACATGCAGGATTATTTGGGGATTCTTCTTGTTTGAGGGGACCAGGACAGACATCACCCCTGAAAGAAACTTATGTCCGAACGTCCCAAAAAGTAATGTTATATTTAAACCAGCCCAAAGGTCCGCTTTTTGAGCATGTCCGCTTTTTGAGAGTAGCGTTTTTTGTTTTGAAAGGAACACAAAGGACAGCATCGCATGCTGGGAGGGCCAACTCCCCTGCACAATCTCAACTTGTTGCTGAAGGGAAACGAAGCACGCGGGTCGCCTTTTTGACCCTTTTTAGGGCTGGTCAAGGATGGAACAAATGGGAAACCACCCATTTTCACTCCCCCCCTCCCCCCCGAATTTCGATCAAAATTACAGCAAACAACGCATTTCTCAGTAGGCCCCGCCCCATTACCCACAACCAAAATTGATTGACCCCTGCCTTCTGAACGCTGGCCAGCTTGTCGCTGGGGAGTCGGCCCAGCTGCGTAGGCAGCCGCTCGCCGCCTGAGAGAAAGACAGGGGTCTCTTGATGTCGCCTTCAAGAACAAATATTATATATATGTATATATGTCTATATGTATATATATATATATCGGTTGCTTTCTGCTCCCCTGCTAAAAGTTTAACTTGTGGTTTAATACGGAAAACCCCTTAGTTGGCAAAAAGTTATCCAGTCCTAACATCCAAGCAACATGCACCAAAGATATAGTGGAGCCTGCCACGTTCGAAGGTCCAAGCAATTCGGGGAGGGGGGGGCAGGGAAAGTTCTATGACACACACAGCTAAGTTTCATGGACTCCCCGGGCAGAAAAAACATACGAGGGATAGACATGCAACAACATGCAACTACCAATCTAGGCATCCCTGCGAACCACAAGTCAAAGAACCAGTCGTAGGACCGTAGGACCGTAGTGGTCGATTCCCCGTTCTTTTCAACCTTTAAAAAAGAATCCAGCTGCTTCTCCCAGCTTTTAGATGGTTTCCCGCAAAGGATTGGAAAGAATGGGGAAGGTACCCCTCAGATGCCCAGTGGATTTCCATAGGAAAAAAGGGGTACTCTTTTTTGGTTGTTTGATTTTAATGGGAACCCTTCTCAAAAACAACCAGCAAAAAGAGCACCGCTGGGCAACTCGGCCCATCCCACCGCTGCGGACCGCACCCGAGCACCCAGAGTGGCCGCCGGAGAAGCAGACGCGCGCCAAAAAACGGGGCCCAAAGCAAAAAGCAAATCATGGGTGCTGTCTTTCTTGAGGGTACCCCTCCTCTTTTGTGTGCTTTCTCGGTTGTTGTTTCTTTTCCTGTTTTGAAACGGGCACAAAAGGGAGACTGAAATCCAATAGGGTCCAATGTCTATAAGACCTCCTCGCATGCGGCCGGTTCATGGTCTCGTTTGCGAGAGCCCAGGGGCATCTCGACGCTGGGTCTCGAAAGCCATGAAACAAAGCCTGGGTCTCTGAAAGACATGTAGTGATTGCTACGAAAACGCCTCACAGTCCAACGGCTGACAGACTGTCAAGAACTTGTTGGAACTAGCGGGTTCCAACATGGCGACCGCTGTTTTCAAGTGCCATACTTCCTGAAGAGCCAATCACCTTAAGGCGCGCAAAATGGCCGCTTCCTGGCCTGGGGAGTCACGCCCATCGTTGTCCGCATTACCCATGGCGCCGGAGTGACTGAACCCTTAAGCCGAAAGGAAACGTGCGGAGGCGAGATCGCGGCCGGCGATTTTTCCACGTGAGCCGGGGCAAACGAGTACAGTGAACAATTTACCTGACTGGAAGGTTTCTGAAAGCGCGGGATGCGACAAGGAAACAAGATGAAACAGGGCCGAGGGTTGACTAAGAAGCAGCCCGTGGGGATGCACGCGGCTTAAGCTGTAAGCCGGCAAAATCCCAAGCATGGTCAGCTGTACCATTTACATGCCTGAACACAGGCTATGCAGCACAAGGCTTCTCCGCAATCTCTGGCCGTTACCAAGAATGAATACCTCGCTGATCACTAAAACCACTTGCAGTAGGTCTAGCTTTGAGCCATACACATCCATATTAATGGATTCTGATCGCACGCGCCTGCAAATTGGACCAACTTGCTAAATCTGTGTCATGGATAATCCTGCTTCACCCCAACCTAAAGTTCCTCTGCGGCTTCCTGGCTTGGCAAGGCCAGGGTTGCCCATATTTCGCCTGTGAACATCACCCCACGTTGAAACAAACCCAGCTGGCCATGAAATCATGTTGACAACCTTCCCTTAGTCCTTCCCCTGGCCACGTTCACCCTTCTCCAGTAGATCATATAGCCAAGCAAGTTGGCTTAAACTGTTTGCTTGCCACTCAACTGGTCTTCCTAAGCACAAAGTCCAGCACCGTGACCACAGCAACCACCCCAAAGCTTCAAGACAAAAGTCCCACTCAGGGAGCCAACTTGCGTCATAATCAAAACCCGAGATTCAACTGGTCTACCCAGAACCATATTTCAAGATTGAAAGAGGCCTCGAAGGCACCCATCTATGGCCAAGGGGAAATATGCCCAACCTTCTACTCAGCTTCCCTCCTGGTGGTTTGGATTGAATCCTTTGGTTTTCTAAGAAGTTTCCCCTTCACCCACCGAAAGCCCAGCGGTTCAATTCCAAACCCGCCCTGGTGGTGAAGTTGTTTCCCGTTCACCCCGCCCCGCAAGGGGCGCAGGGGAACCGCGCATTCCCAAACCAAGTAGGCTTTTGATGGCCCAACTAAGAAACTAAGATATATACTTCTAGGTCCTCCAGTAGAGAGGTTAGCATAAGGGTACCCTTTTTTTCTGTAGTCTATTTTGGTGGGAGGGCCCTCCCCCCAAAAAGGGCAAAAGGGCACTACTGGGGGACCTGGACTTATAAGCAAATGGAAGGGTACTGGTTAAGAAGTTTCCCCTTCACCCCGCCAATCCAAACCAATTCGGGAGTACCAGATCTACCCGGGTTTTGGTCCCTCAACGTTCCTGGGCTTTCCGGCGATGACGCTGCTGCGCGCCGCTTGCCGCTGCAAAGGCGCGCGCAAGGCCACGGCATCTGGCCTGAGGCTCCCGTCGCTACGGCGAAAAACAAACAAACGGTTCAAACAGGACCCGGCGTGACGCATCGCTAACATCAAAGTAACCTTGCTTCAGGTTTTGCTTTTTTGAAGTGGTCAGGTGTCTTGTTCAAAGGTTTACCTTTGAGAGGCGATCTCTTTTATAGCTTTTCTTTCAGAAAGTGCTTGGTCATGACATTTCAAAGCGGGTGTATCTTTTTGTTGAGAGCACACTTTGGGCCTTGGTCCAAGAGACCAAAAGGAATTTACTCATTTGAGGGCCCTATTTCAGCACAACACAATCGTCCCTGCAAAGGGCTGCTACCCTCCAAAGAAGCACGATTCATCTGGTACCAAACAAAAAAAACCCAGCATGTTGAGAGATCTCGTTTCTTTGGAGCCTTCGAGCTCCGTGGTTTGCAGTGGAGCAAAGCACTTTCATGGAAACACCCACACCTTTCCGAAACTATTCGGAAGCCCCAAACTAGTGTACTCAGTTAGGTAATCAAGGGCACCTAAAAACATGCAATCAAACAATCAAGATAAACTCCACTACTCAGGTTTACATTGTGGCTCTCACAGGCCCGCAAAAAAACACAATACAAACAACTGATGACTCACCCTGTCGGGCCTCAACACGAGCCCATCTTCTGACAACCTGACACATGCTGAGGAAGCTTCCTAGGTTCGCCCATGAAACATGCGTTGGGTGGAAGGAACTCTAACACGGTTCCTCATACTTCTCCTTCATACATCACCCCTACCAAGGGACTTTTCATTTAAATACGACGAACCGTGACGTTTTGAACGCCAAGAACAGTGTCCAAGGGAGAATGCCTCCCGCCTCTCCACTTCAGACATGCGCACAGCCAGCTCCAAGTGGTTTTCCTGCGGCCCGATTCGTCCCTTTGGCACATCCGCGCTTCGTGCGAGACACAAAGGCGGGCAGCGTGAAAGCAAGAAAAGTGCGCATGTGTATGCATACAACAGTGTGCCATCATAGGACAAGATCATGCAAAAACCAAAATCGTACAAACAAACATACTTTTCAAAAGCAAATATAGGAGACGGAAAAAAAGAAGAAACAAAACTATCAAATTGCCCGCTTGAGAATCAAATTTGCCAGTAATGATGCCACTTGCAAGTGTTCAGTTCGGCTTTGCCTTGCAAGGCTTCGTCGTACAATCTGAAACCAACAAATGCTGAGACCTATTCGATCTAAATCTCTGATGCATGATTACACGTCATGATTAGACTTAGGCCCCAGCTACAGAATGTATATTCTATTGGTTGCTTCCTTTTGAGTCACTGGTAACATGTAAAATGTATCCAGACGTGATCTGGTTTTTCGCGACCGGCATGCAAGTGTGTACTGCTTGTGCCCGGCAAAGGTCAGGAGCCCATCTGCCAAAATGGAAAAGCCGGCCGGCAAAGGAGTGAAACCCCTTGGGACCCCCACGAAACCTGACGACCGTTCCTTTCCACAGTGAGCTAGGAACATAGGTGGCCTTTTGGAAAAATAGACGGCCCAGGTAAATGGAAGAAACCCCACCTAAACCAGTGCCATCTATTTCTAGTCAAACTAACCTAAAAAGGACATCTATGGCTAGAAAGTGCTCATCAGCCAGCAAAGGGTTTGCTGCTTGTGGGCAGCGGAGTGCACAGGATGTAAAGTCTGCTCAGTGCCGCCCTGACCATGACCATGTCTCGGTTGCTGTTTGCAACCCTGCTTAAAGCTTCTCTTTTAGTGGTTTAACGGAAAACCCATTAGTTGGCAAAAAGTGAAAAGTCCTAACATCAAAGCAAAATGCACCAAAGATGTGGTAGTGCTTCGTGCAGTCGGCTTCTGGCCTATGTTTAACGGCCTTCTTTAATCCCTGCCGTTTGGTCAGAATAAAACTCATGCAAACGTAAGTGATATGCTTGCCCAACGCGAATGCGGCTATATGCTGCAATAGCACCTCTTAGAGAACATCAAAGGCTACGCTCCTGCAAAATAACATGAACCCCAATTAACGAGTGGATTTTGTCCTTGGTTGCTGTTATCCCCTCTGCAAAAGTTTGACTTTTTGTAGGTCCAAATCTCAAAGTTTCCACCAAACAGTCAAATTCCAAAGAGCCGTTACTAAATTGCCAAACAGATTCTGTGTATCCTTGTTTTAGGGGAATCCCCTTGGGGTTGGGAAGACCTTCTCTTGACAACCCACGGTAAAGTGTCCCTCACGTTGACGCCTCCGAAAAATCCGCTTTCGCGCCTCGGGCTGCACCAGGGGAAGCAGCGACAAGGTCGACCTGAAGCCGACAGCGGAGTTGATCCGCACCTCATGGCTGTGTTGGTCAAAAATCAGCTCTGCAAATGGGTTGCCCTGTGGAAACATGGACCAACACCTGCGGTTTCTTGGTGGTTTGTATCAAAAATCAGTACAAATGGGTTGCCCTGTGGAAACATGGACCAACACCTGCGGTCCAATTCCTGGTGGTTTCGTTTTGACCCATACCCATATCAGACTTGCCTAAACACATATCCCAGTCCTTATTTTGGCCACTAGCAACACTAAGATAAATCTTCAAAGCCCTGGATAAGATTGCTGGGTTTCAATGCCGGGTGTTCAGGGGCTCTGGAAAAAGCGATCCATCTTCTTGTGACTGGCTCTCGTGAGTTCTGCATGCTGCTTTGCTGCATACATGCATATTTCGCATTCACCACAGCACATGAGCGAAGTGCTGCGTGCATTGACATTGGATTCACTCAAAATGCACATGTTGCCAATCTGCGTTTTCGTCAAAACTTCTCCTGCAGGCCATGGGTATGGTTCCCTTACTCAAAGCCTTCGCATAGACTGTCTACACAACAGGAGCCTGTGCCCCACGCCGACCAGAACGGCGCATTGCAGCGGGGAGTGCCATACCCCGAGTGGAACGGTGCAATTTCAGGAGAAAGTCACCGTGGCCACATCTGACGCGAATCTTAGGCCCGCGGCAGGTCGTACAACTCTACTCCGACGCTCTGCGCCCGCGCTCCAATGGCCATACCTCCAAAAATGGCGCCGGCCGCTCGCTTCCCCCTTTTTTCAAGAAGCCCATTGCTTGGAAACCAACCGGTCACCCCAAAAAGGGGAATCCAACAGGGCGTCCCGTGTTTGAGCCGTAGTTCTTGCGACAAACAGCCAGCATTCGGTGCGAAGCTGAGGGCTGATGTCAGACTGGTTGCCTAAGTGGCAGTCACAGGCACGTTGAAGATGCCACCCTACAAGGTGTCAAGGCTTCACTCGGTCTTGTGACATGTTGATACACTGGATGTCAGCATGGCCCATTATGACTTACACAGAAGTCGGTCAACGAAAGGGCAGCCGAAGCAAAGGCGTCGAATGAGAAATGTCCGTCAATCGACACTGTCCTTCCCACATTTGTCAATGGGACCAACATACATTCGAGAGAAAGGGTGCGTCAAGCTGATCAGCCAAGTGTTGTGAGATATAACGCATACGTGCCATGGTCACAACTCCTTGTGTCAGTTATGGTCACGGATTCATGGACTCATGGACATAGTAGGTGCCTGTGTCTGTGCCTGTGTCTGTGTCTGTGTGTGTGTGTGATATATCTCTGTGTCTGTGTGTCTCTCTGTGTGTGTGTGTCTGTGTGT